ACTTTATTTTGCCGGCTGGGACCTACCCTCCAGTGGAATTGACCATGGAGTCAGGTCCCAAGATGAAATTGAGTACAGTTTTTGTATTTATAGGAAGGAAAAAAACCAAAAAAACCCTTACCCCTTGCTCCCCCTCCCCTTTACCTCAGTGTAAAATTTTTTTTATCTAAGCCTAAAGCACATCTACAGAAGCAAAAAGGAATGCACAGTTAAAACATCTGGGACATCTGTTATGATCAGTTAAAGGCACCTCCTGTTTTCTCAACCAGAATAGCATGAAATGCTTTAGCTAGGGAGTGGGTCTTCTCACAGGAAAATTCCTGAGGACATCTGTTATGATCAGTTAAAGGCACCTCCTGTTTTCTCAACCAGAATAGCATGAAATGCTTTAGCTAGGGAGTGGGTCTTCTCACAGGAAAATTCCTGAGCTCAGATGGGGATCACATAGTACCTCTGGCAGGTAAGCCTCATAAACCCTTCTTGCTATGTCAGTTTTATGGTAGCCACAAGCACACTTTGTGGTCTCTAAAGGCAGGTGGGTTTTTCCCAGAACAATCTTGAGGTTACACAGAGGACAAGCTAAGCCACCAAAAGGTGGGTTTTAAACAAAATGGAGTCTTTTATGTCAACCCAGGTTTCTTGCTACCCTCTTGGGTGCTGGAGTCTTGGGAGTTAAGCTGACTAGTGACAGATTAGCAAAAGAAAAAAAATAGTGTACTTATTTAAAAAATTTTTTCCATAAAAGAGTTTATGTATGCAAGATGCATAGAGCAATGCTTGGTGATGAGTAACTCACAGGGGTGGTTGGAATTTTTGGCTTAGAAGAAAGGACGGGGAGAGAAATAGGTTTCTGTGGAAAGACCAAATTATATACTTTATGTATAAAGGGGACAAGGTCTTGCTACGTAGTTCAGGCTGTCCTTGAACTCACTGTATATCCCAGGTTGGGCTTGAACTCATGGCGAGCCTCCTGCCTCATCTTCCAAAAGACAAATAGTTTTTTTTTGGTACTGGACATTGAATTTGAGACCTTGCGCCTGTGAGGTAGGTGGCGGAACCACTGAGCTAAATCCCGGCCTCAAATATATGTATTATTAAGGGAGCACAGATGATATTTTATTTTATTTATTTATTTATTGAGACAGGGTCTCACTGTGTAGTTGAGACTGACCTGGAACTCACTATGTAGCCCAGGCTGGTCTAAACTCAGTGTTCCTCCTGCCTCAGCCTCCCAAAAGAGTGCTGGGATTACAGGTATGTGTCTGGCTGATATTTTAGAAGGATAAGTAGGAGATAAAATTTGTGATAATGTTTGTTTAAACAGGTGTGAGAAGTTATTTTTCCATGGCCTTAAATCTTTCTTGCAAAAAAAAAAATTATGATAACCTTATTTCCCAGGATTTGCTGCTTTTATTCCCAGTGATAGAGGGGGAATAGATGCAACTCTCAAAACCTGCTAGATATCTGAAATGTGAATTTGTGATCTCTAAAATTAAAGAATAAATTCTAGGAACTGTAAGACTTAAAAGTCTCACTTCCACTCTCTCCACGGAGCGCAAACAGCCCAAAAGGCCTTTGCAATGTTGGGCCCTAAAGCCCAATGAGGCTCTGTGAGCGCTATCGAGGAACGAGAAACCCAGGAAGGAACACACCAGGCTAGATGGTAAAAGACCTTTATTAGTCTGGCCAGACGGCACTCTCAGAACCAAGTGGCTGGCTCAGAGGCGCCTAGCTCAGGGGCTGAGGTCCTCTTATAGGGAGTAAAAGAGGGGGTTAACATTTTTGGGCTCACAGACAGGGGACAAAGGTCTGCTGACTTGAGCTGGTGGTCAGCAGTCACATGCTCAAAAGTCACATATTGATGAGTGACAGGTACCACCCATAGGATGTCTCAAAGGTCACCAAGACACTCCGGATGAGCAAACAGTTTGTCAATTAACTTGGGGCTCTTTGTCTGGAGTCTCTAATTTACAGGTAGATTCAGATCCGGACTTCAAACAATACAAGAGTGATACACATTCTTAGGCCAGGGCTGGAACAAAGGTCGGGGCTGTGGCTCAATGGGAGGGGTTCAGGACACTGTGTCCTAGGCCCTTTGCCATTTAGCAAGGGCTTGTAATTTAGGTCCCACAGGAACAACAGAGGTTAAGTAGGAAATATTTGGGAGAAAGATAGCTTCTGAGAGGAGGGGGACCAGAAAGTGGTTCCCCCCCCACCCTGCTTCCCAGAGGTGTTTTTATTGAGCAAAGCCATAAAGTAGGACGGGTTCAAGGTGGGACTAAACTATAGTCAACTAGTAAGATTACAAGTACAGTCGCTTAGGTTATATTGATCCAGTGGGAAATCCCAATGTGAGTCAAAACTATGACTATCCAGTAAGATGACAAGTATAGTTGTTTAGATAATATTGATTAAATGGAGATCAAATGGGGAAGCAAGTCTTGTAGACCAAACAAGGATTTTCCGCAAGGGAGGTGGGTCAGGAATCTTCCTGGAAGGGGTGGGTTAAAATCTTGGTTTCCCCAACCAGATATTTATTTAGAATACCAATTGCCGGGCGTGGTGGTGTGCGCCTGTAATCCCAGCACTCGAGAGGCTGAGGCAGGAGGAACATTGTGAGTTTAGACCAGCCTGAGCTATGTAGTGAGACCCTGTCTCAAAAAAAAAAAAAAAAAATCAATAGAATACCAATCACTGCTATTAGTCTTTAGGGGAAGCACTCAGATGTAGTACTTTCTCTTTTATAATGCTGGCCTTCTGTGAATGTGTCTTGATTGTCCTCCCTGTTGGCTCCTCCAGGGCAGGCCTTGTCAAACTGCTTGCATGATAATTAATTTATCTATCTACCGTAACAGGAGGGAAGTTCTGATGAGGTTCACATGCTTGTGTGGGGACAGGACCCAGGGGCTTCACACTGAGCTGTATTCCCCCAGACCTGTTGATTTTATATTTTGAGACAGGGTCTCACTAAGTCACTGAGTTTCCCAGGCTGGGTTCAAAGTGGTGATCCTCCTGCATCAGCATCCTAGAGTGCTGGGACTACAGGTGTGTGCCACAACACCTTGCTTTTTTTTGGGGGGGGGCGTCGTTGCTCGGGATGGGACCCATGGCTTCTGCTGAGGCTTTGTGCTTGCTAAGAAATTGCTATACTAGTGAGCTACACCACCAGCCTAAGAAGGCCTGTACCCTGTGTCAGTTGAATCTCAAATGCCTTTACTTTAAAATAATCTTTAAACTACTTTAGGAGTTCCAGACCAGTCTCTGCAAAAAGATAGGAGCTATTGTATTGAATCAAGATGAGAATTGTTAGGGCCAGGGATTTAGCTCAGTGGCACCACGCCTGCCTCACAAGCTCAAGGTCTTAAGCTTGATCCCTGGTACCAGAACAAACGTGTATAGTTCGTTGGCATTTAGTAATTCAGTATTATGCTACCATTACATCTTTTTTTGTTTGTTTGTTTTTTGAGACAGGGTCTCACTATGTAGTTGAGGCTGACGTGGAGCTACACAATGTAGCCCAGGCTGGTCTTGAACTCACAGTGATCCTCCTGCCTCAGCCTCCCAAAGAGTGCTGGGATCACAGGCATGCACCACCTTGCCCGGCCCTACCATTACATCTTAATTCCAGAACATTTTCATCACCCTAGAGCAGTGTTGGCAAACCTTTTAGAGCTTTCAGTGATGATAAACAGCTGGCGACGGCCCATATGCCATAGGTTTGCCACCACAGCCCTGGAGGGAAACCTTCGTTCCCATAAGCAGTCACCCCCACATTCCTCTCCCTGGTCATCTTTGTGTTTTGAGTTAATCTGTTTTGGATATTCTCTATAAACAGAATAATACAATATGTGACCTTCTGTTTCTGGCTTCTTTCACTTAGAATGGTGTTTTTGAGGTTCACCCATGTTGTACCATGTACCATACTTGATTGCTTTATATGCCTTAATAATGAGAATGCTGCATTTACTTATACCATCTTCTCAATTAATGGATGTTTGAGTTACTTCCACTTTTGGTGATTGTGTGGTGCTGCTCTGAATGTTCATATATAAACTATTGTTTGAATAATGGCTTCATTTCTTTCTTTTTGTTTGTTTGTTTGTTTTTTTGAGACAGGGTCTCACTATGTAGTTGAGACTGACTTGGAACTCACTGTGTAGCCCAGGCTGGTCTCAAATTCACAGCGATCCTCCTGCCTCAGCCTCCCAGGTGCTGGAATTACTGGTGTGCACCCCCACGCCCAGCTTGCTTCATTTCTTTTGAGTATATGTATTTAGGAGGAATAGCTGGATTATATAGTAATTCTGTTTAGTATTTTGTGGAACTTCCGATTACTCTTAAATGGAGCTAGATGACTTGCTAGCAAAGTTTATAAGAGGGTTTCCAGGTAATGTTGCTTTGTGCTGTAACACCAGCTTTGGTAACAAGGCTTAGTAAACAGTAAGTGCAGTTGGGTTTGCATTCTTTTATTGTTTTAACACAAAATATGCTGCCTGTGAGTGTAATGTGTATTGGACTTTTACTGTGTTCCAGGCACTGTGTTAAATGCTCATTTAATATAGCAAGCCTGAGGGAGGGAAATTCTGTTATTATTAAATCCATTTACAGATGCAAAAATTGGGTTAGCCATTCGTGGTGGTACGTGCCTGTATCCCAGCACTCAGGAGGCTGAGGCAGGAGGATCACTGTGAGTTTGAGGCCAGCCTGGGCTACATAGTGAGTTCAAGGATAGGCTGAACTACACGGTATGACCGTATCTCAGAAGAAAGAGAAGGTGGGGGGGAAGGAGAGAGGGAGGGAGGGAAGAAATTGGGTTAGATTGTATAACCTCCTAAAATAAAATGGCAGAAATAATATTGACTCAGAGCCCATACTTTAACTACATAATTTTTTCATTTGAAATTGTCAACTTTGTGAAATTTGAATTTGCCTCATTTTCTACTCTCTGATATCTTTGCAGTAAAGGTGATCTCATGCAGCCCGGGGTGTTCTTATTACAGGTTCCATGCCTCTGTGGCAGTGCATCATGCTTGCTGTGTAGTTGCTGTCCCAACAGTAAGAATTCCACTGTGACTCGATTCATCTATGCTGCAATTCTCTTCCTGGGCACAGCTGTGTCCTATATCATGCAGATAAAAAGTATAGAAACTGAGCTGAAGAAAGTAAGTAGAAGTAACAGTGCCCGTTATTTTTATTAGATTTTACGATATTTGTTTTATAATTGTTTCTAACAGCCCAGCGAAAACATTTTTTCTGTGGTTTGGATTGGCCCTGACCACACATGTAGCCCAGGCTGGCCTCAAACTCATGATCCTCTTGTCTCAGCCTCCCTAATACTGGGATTACAGATGTGTGCCACCATGCCCAGGAAAGAAAAAGGAATTCCAGAATTGAATTTCATGATGCATGCCTGTAATCACAGCTACTCAAGAGGCTGAGGCAAGAGGATCACAAATTCAAGGTAAGTGGGCAGTTTGACAAGACTTTGTCTCAAGATAAAATTTTGAAAAGGCCTGGGGTTGCAGTTCCACGCTCTCTTGGTTCAGTCTCTAGTATTAGGAGATTGCGGGTGGGGTGTGATCCCAAGGCATTTTCTTTGCATACAGGTTTAAACTTTAAAGCTATACTAGTCCTTACCTTTGGACAGAAAGAGGTCCGTTGTAGCTAGAAAGTCTCATAGGGGAATTTAAGACAAGTTCATTAGTATGAAAGTTAAAGGAAGACACTTTTTCTTTGGTACTGGGGATCGAACTCAGGACCTTGTGTTTTCAAGGCAGGTGGTGGAACCACTGAGCTAAATCCCCCAGCTCTAGGACACTTAATTCTTGAATGCAAATGTTTATCCTATCTGGTAACAAGATTTAATCAATTAAAAGTCAGAGAAAAGTCTTTGCAGTTGTTGAAGTGGTCAGTTCTATAAATCCAGGTCTTCCTATAGTGAGATTGAATCTTTGATTAATGTGGATATTCCCCTCACATTGAAATTGTTGTTTTTCCCCTAGATTCCTGGATTCTGTGAAGGGGGATTTAAAATCAAAGTGGCTGATTTAAAGGTGGATAAAGATTGTGATGTGCTGGTTGGTTATAAAGCCATATATCGGATCAATTTTGCATTGGCCATCTTTTTCTTTGCTTTGTGTTTACTCATGTTAAAAGTAAAAACAAGTAAAGACCCCAGAGCAGCAATACACAACGGGTATGTAAGATTGTTTATTAATTGGTTATGTTGTAGTGTGATTCCTCCTCTCCTTCAGTTAATTTTTTAAAAAATTTATTTTTATTAGTACATGTTTGCAGTACGTAATAATTATAAAGATTATATTCATCATGGGACATTGGTATATATACATAATACATCTTAATTCTTTTTATGTCCCCTTCCCCTTAGCAGTTAACCATTCAGTTGAAAGCAATGAAATATTTGTATAAGTGGTCCAGATGTATATCTGATTAATTACACATGTGAAATTTTCACCATGCTGGTTCTCTGAGTTTCCCAAACTTAACCCACCCCACTGTGGCAGGTTTGCTAGTACCCATTGCAGAAAAAGAATTTTCGGGACATGCTGGAAAGAGGCATGATTAGGCTCTGCTAAGCAAAGACAGAGTAGCACACACTGAGCAGAATATTTATTACAAAACAAAAGCAGAAAGTAGCCTTTATTTAAAGTTTTTTATTTATTTAAAGTGAAAGCAAACAGCTTACTGGTTGTTTAACCTGGGAGGGGACTCAAATGAGTTGCAAAATGGACTCCCAGTTTAGTGCTTTTGTCCTCAGAAAATTACTGGCTTGCTCACATTATCAGCGTAAGCACAATAGAAACATTCTTTAGAAGGATATGGCTACCTTGTTCCTGGGCAAGAAACCCACCAGTTCAATGAGGCCTTTGTTTGTTGAGCTCCAGGTCCCTGGCCTTGGTCATTGATGTGTCCTTCACCGGATCTTTTAATTCTTCTTTTGGCTTTGTCTTTTCCTGGCCACCTGTACTTCTCTTTGCCAAGACCCTGCTTACCTTCAATACGTACACGTTGAGAACCTCTGAATAGATAATGCTACCCAAAACCTTAGAAAGCAGAATGCAAGCCCAGCCATGCCTGCAGAGGGCTCTTGGTTCATTTTTCCCAGGTCTCTATCCTCCCTACTATTGACTCTGGGCTGTCTTGATCTCAGGGCCAGGCCCTTCTACCTTATTTTATTTTCTTTCTTTCTTTTTTTTTTTTTTTTTTTTTTTTTTTTTTTTTTTCTTTTTCTTTTTTGATACCGGGGATCAAACTTGGGTATTTATGCTTGTGAGGCAGGCAGCAGAACTACTGAGCTAAATCCCCGGCCTACTTTCTTAACTGAGTCAGTTTTTATGACCTTCAGCTGTGTCCTGGAAGTTGGAAGTTACAGTCTTCCTTACAAAGTATAGTTGTTAGTTATGATTTCCTTATGTCCTTTATACTTACCTTGAATTGTTTGAGTGTCATTATCTTTATTTCTTTTTTTGAGATGGGGTCTCGCTGCATAATTCAGGCTGGTCTTGAACTTACTGTGTAGCCTAAGCTGGCCTTGAATTCGTGGGGATCCTGCTGCCTCAATCTCCTGAAGTGCTGGGACTATAGGCATGTACCTGCATGCCCAGCTAATGTCATTTTCTCTCTGTTCCCCCTTCCCTCCCCCCTCTCTTTTCTTTCTTTGTAGTGGGGATCGAACTCATGTCCTTGAGCTTGCAAGGCAGGTGCCAGAACTACTGAGCTAAATCCCTAGCCCCCCCTTTTTTTTCTTTGAAACAGGGTCTTACTATGTAGTGTAGGCTGGTTCTGGATAGCCCAGGCTGACCTCTTCAGCCTCCCGCATGCTGGGACTACAGACGTGGCAGCACCACCTTGGTTCAGTGTCATTTTCAGTTGGAGCCTTGTAACATGGGGTGGTGGTGGTGAACCTGTGTCACACATGCTGCAGCAGGCTGTTTGTATCACTTAAAGCTCTAAAAGGTTCGCTATGGCTGATATAGGGGATAGGGAATCTTGTTTTTTTAAAATACTTTTGCTTCAGGTATCTAGATTTTTAGGGAGCACCTTTCAAACAAAACACTATGCAAGGCACTGAAGGGAGTTTTGTAAATTTTGTATGTATTATAACCACCCTTAATAGATATAGTAAAGAAGAGATAAATTAACATTGGCTGAGATCTCTCAGCCAGCGAGGATGGAGCTTGAAGCTAGGTCTTTCAACTCCAAAGCTTGATAACATTTTGTCCTGCCATACAAGGCAATTATTAAATAAATGGTGCTTAGAAAATTGGATATCCATACTCAGAAGATTGAGTGAGAACCATATATCTCTTTATGCACTAAATTAAAATAAAAATGGATCAAGGATCTAAATTTTAAAATAAAATTTTAAAACAGACAATCTGCTGGAAGATGAAATAGGTAAAACTCTTGAAGACAGGTGTAGGCAAGGACTTTCTGAGCAGAAACCCAATGGCATGAGAGATAATATTGAGAATCAATAAATGCGATTATATCAAATTAAAGAGCTTCTGCACAGCAAAGGAAACAACCAGTAGAGCAAAGAGACAACCTACAGAATGGGACAGAATTTTTACCTGTTATTTCTGGGGCAGAGCAGTAATATAAGAACTAAAAAAAATTAGACCTGCTAGAATAAAAGACATAGTCAAAAAATGGACAACTGAAATAAATCGACACTTCTCTGAAGTGCAAATGTCCAATAAATACATGAAGAAAGGCCCAGTGTTGCTGGCCATTAGAGAAATGAAAATTTTAAAACTACATTTTGTTCCAGAAAGAATGTCTGTCATCAAGAAATCAAATGATAGTGAAGGCTGCAGAGGGGAACAAGGAACACCTCTACATTGTTGTTGGGAGTGTAAGATAGTATAACCACTATGGAAATTAGTGTGGAGATTCCCCAGAAAAACTAAAAATAGAAATATTTGAAGCTGGGCATGGTGGCACACACCTGTAATCCCAGCACTCTTTGGGAGGCTGAGGCAGGAGGATTGCTGTGAGTTGGAGACCAGCGTGGTCTACATAGTGAGTTCCAAGTCAGTCTCAACTACATAGTGAGACCCTGTCTCAAAAAACCAAAAAAAAAAAAAAAATTTCATTTGACCCAGTTATTCCCATTCTAAGTATCTTTCTGAAAGATTCAGAGACATATCATGTGTTGCAGGGATACATGTATACTCATGTTTATAGCAGCACAGTTTACAATAGCTAAATTTGGGAAACAGCCTGTATGCCCGTCAACGGATGAGTGAATAAAGATAATGTGTTTATACAGAATGTGGAATACTACTCTGTCATAAAGATGAATTTAAGTCACTTGTAGGATGTAGGAAAATGGATACAACTTGAGACCATAATGCTGAGTGAGATAAGTCAGTCAGACAAGCTTAGATATTACATTGTTTTTCTTTTATGAGAAACGTGTGTGTGTGTGGAGAGAGAGCACACAAAATAGAAGATAAAGAGGGAACAAGAGGTAGAAGGAGGAAGAGGGAAGGGTGGAAGAGGGGAGGAAAGGGAATGGGGAAAAATGATGAAAAAAATTTATTTATTTATTCGTTTATTTATTTATTTATTGCGATACCAGGGATTGAACTCAGGCCCTTGCCACCTGCAAGGCCAGGCACAAGTGCCACTGAGCTAAATCCCCAGCCCCAAAATAGAACTTTTGAAAATGGGAAGGGAACAAACAGTTTTAAGGAGCACGGAGGGAGAAATAGTGTAGGGGATGAAATTAAAAGAAAAAGAAGATAAATTACATGCATGTACCAATCATAATCATTGGTAATCATAGTGATTATGTATTATACATACTTATAAAAAACAAAGCAGTTATTGAAGATTATGCACTGAAGGGTTGGTTCTGCTTTGCTAGTATTGAACTTGAGATTGTGGACAGTGATTTATATCCTGTATAAGTAAAGGATTTGGTGATAATCTAATAGTTAATAGCAAAAACTGTTAGAACTCCTTGTAATTCTAGAAAAATTCTTACCCTGAAGTGCTGAAATTAGGGAGATTCTTAAATTTACCTATTTCTTTCATTTTGAATGTAAATGACGTTTTTTTTTTTTTGGTACCAGGGATCATAAATGACTTATTTTCTGTGCTAACGTCCTTTGTGTGAAATACTGAATGAAATACTCAAGTCAAATGAAGAAATGGAGTTATCTTTATTAGTACATGTTTGTATTACATAACGATTACATTCATCCTGGGAAGTTGATATATGTACATAACACATCTTAATTCTTTTTACATCCCCCCTCCTCTCCCATTGGAATTGTTATTAAGTCTTTATTTTTGCATGTAGAAATTCATTTTTCTCAGTGTGAGAATGAAAATTAGCACTTGATAAATGCATTTTTATATTTTAACAGGTTTTGGTTCTTCAAAATTGCTGCCCTTATTGGTATCATGGTTGGATCTTTCTACATCCCTGAGGGCTATTTCACCTCAGGTATGGCTCAGAACTGAGGGATTAATTATAAGATGTACAAATTCTACAGGTGATTAACTTAGATGTACATTTCCATTAGCGATTTTGCAAACTGGCTATGAAATGGGATGGTATCCAGTTAAATGACTTGGTACTAATATCAAGACATTGATTTAAGTACGGGATACATTAATCTCATTTCTCGGCTTTTCTGAAACTGCATTTTAATCTTTTTCTAATATTTTAATACTTTATCATCTCAGTTGACAAAGTTTATTAGAGTTTGTCAGCATGAGGACTTGTAACTCCTGTGTGTTCCATAATCTCTTGTTTTTACCTGCTTGCTTTTTAATTTTTTTTTTCCTGGTACTGGGGATCGAACTTAGTTCCTTGCATTTGTGAGGCAGGTGCAGTGCCAATGAGCTAAATCCCTGGCTTTTTTTTTTTTGAGATAGGGTCTCACTATGTAGTTGAGACTGACCTGGAACTCACTATGTAGCCCAGGCTGGTCTTGAACTCAAAGTAATCTTCCTGCCTCAGCCTCCCGAGTGCTGGGATTACAGGTGTGCGCCACCACACGCTTAACCTGTGATTTTTAACATGGCATTGAGTGACAGCTGAGATTTCCACTGTGATCCTGATAGGGAAAACTTTTATAAATAGCAAAAACCTATAAAGTGTTACAGTGTAAAATGGCTTCTGCTGTCTCTAACAGCAGTTTGTTTTGTTTAGCTCAAAACTAATAGGCAGAAGGCACTAATTGCTGAATGAGGCATTTGGTCTTACCCTGAGATAACAGTCAAGGTCTTGAGCTCTGATGAGACTGGAGCCACCTGATCGTAAAAGTGTCTAAATGAAAGAACCCATTGCTAACTTTTGCTCCCCTGGCCCTGAACACTCCCTTTCCTATGGACTAGAATAGATAACTAAGCGAATCTTAAAGGTAAACTCCCCAACTGCAAAGAACTGCTAGTCTGGGCTGAAAAGATTAACTATTCTGTGACCGTGATTTGAACTGTGAGAATGAAATGTAACCACCCAAATGAAGTCAAGGCTGTGAAACTCTAGAAAAGGAGGAGTTGTAACCCAGTGCGTCGTCGATCCAGGCATGGCTTATGTGCTTATCAATGAGTAAATTTATTATTTTACTTCCATTCTGCTGCCTCTCTGTATGTCACTGACTGATTCCTTCTGTAACAATCCTCCCCATCCCCCAAAAAGTAAAGGAAAAGGCTTACAAAACCACCTGGAATATCAGGTCATAAACCTCCATTGAACCAAGCTAAAACAAGTTTTAAAAGGTCTGAAATCCAATAGAACCCTTCTCAGAAAATGCCTTTGAGATTGCAATTGTCATAGTTTTGCAGTATGCTGAATGGAAATCTGCTTCAAATGTTAAGATGGTTAATATTCTGCAGCCTTATTCCCGTGGTGAAGAATTTCTTTCTTCTTTCTTTATAGTCTTGTTTGTTGTTGGCCTGATAGGAGCCGCTTTATTCATCCTCATCCAGCTGGTACTCTTGGTAGACTTGGCTCACTCTTGGAATGAGGCATGGGTGAATAAAATGGAAGAAGGAAACCCCAGAGTCTGGAATGCTGGTAGGTATCTAAACCAGTTGTGGGAGCCATAGTGCTGCAGTAAGCAGGGTATACATTAAAATCGTCAGTGACTTAAATGTAATGTATAAAGCCAGGCGTGGTGGAGCATGCCTGTAATCCCAGCACTCGGGAGGCTGAGACAGGAGGATCACTGAGTTTGAGACCAGCCTGGGCTACATAGTACTTACAGCTTATTTAATGATGGGAAAGGATTGTATAGTTCTATTAGTGATGCCGTACTTAATTTTTTTTTTTAAGAGTAGGAAAAATTTACTGAGGGAAAGAATGCTTCATTCTCCATACTTCATTTTATTTTATGTTTTTGGTACTGGGGATTGAACTTGGGACCTTGTGCTTGCAAGGCAGGAGGCGGAACCACTGAGCTGAATCTCCAGCCCTTTTTTTTTCTCTTTCCTTTCAGTACCAGAGATAGGACAGACCCAGGCAGGGCCTTCACATTGAGCTATATCCCCAGGCCTTTTTTATTTTATTTTCAGACAAGTTCTCAGTAAGTCATTAAATTGCCAGGATGGCTTGAACTTGCAATCCCGTCTCATCTTCCCAGAGTGCTGGGAGTACAGGTGTGCACCACTGTGCCCAGGTTTTGTGTGTGTGTGTGTGTGTTTGAGTGTTTGAGCTAGGGACTTGCCATGTCATCCAGGCCAGCCTTGAAATGGTGCTCTTCCTGCCTCAGCCTCTGCTGGGATTGCAGGAATACAATATACCCAGCTTAGCTTAGCCTTCAACAAAAAAAAAAGTACTGTTTTTACTATAAACACAAATGACAGAAATTTGTAAAGAATGGAACTGGGGATATAGTTCACACATAGAGCGCTTTATATGCCCTGGGTTTCCTCCCCAGCACTGCAAAAGATTTATCAGAAACAAAACATGGAATTTTCTACCTCCCTGTAACCGATTTTCTTTTCTAGGTTACTAGACATTTGGATATTAATGCATATACATATTTTTGCATTGAAATGTAATTGATATTTTGGGGGGGTACTGGGGATCAAATGCAGGATCTTGCACTTACCAGACAGGTATGGCACCACTGAGCTACATCCCTGGCCCTTCATTTGAATGTAAACAGAATCACACTATATTATTTTATGACTTGTTCTTTTCACTGTCTTTATGATGAATATAGGTACGGTGTATTCATTGAACAGCTGCATGGCATTCCATATAATTCCACTGGTATTCCACAACACAATATACCATAATTTACTTAACCTTTACTCTGTTCTTGGTCACTTAAGTTGGTTGAAGTACCGTTTCAGTTTTGGACATTTCAGCTGGGAATCTCTTAAAAACCTTTACTTCTTTTTAGTATTGAGGGTTGAATCTAGGCCCTCACACGGAGCTGCATATCCCCAGTTGTTTTTAGTTTTTTGGTTTTTTTTTTTTTTTTTTTTTTTTTTTTTTTTTTTTTTTTTTTTTTTTTTTTTTTTAGAGAAATCTTGTATATTCAGATGAAAAGACATTAAACATGCAAAATCCTTTGAGATGAATACTGTAGGAAAGTAGTTTTCTCAGATGAGTCTGTGCTTTTTAACCAACACAGGCTTAATGTTGTGTATGTTCTTTTTTGTTCAGCTAACTACTGATTAGTCTTGTGAATAGAAAAGAACATTTCTGTAGACATTTGAAAATAGCAAATGAACAACTTTCCCAGCTCTGGGATAGTCTCATTATTTGTGATGGGAAAGAAGTTTAGGTGGCCAAGGGCTGCAAAGGAAAAACTGTTTTAAAAAGATGGCTGTTTTGTTTGTTCGTAACATCATCTTTGGTGTGTAGCTTTCTGCGACCTGTGCCATCTGAGAGCCCAGGAACCATCTAGGCTGCTGAGAAGAGTTTATGGTGCACATTAATTAGAACATAGTTGGCAGTTTACCCCAGCTGGAGTAGTAACACACTTGATTATTCAATTCATGAAACCAAATGAAGTAACCCAGGAAGTGAATTCACTTGCTTGGTCGGTTTTAGACTATGACATTAGAGATTTATGGAATTTTGCTGTAAATTACTGACTACCATAAGAGCAAATTAATGCATCTTCATTTTCATATAGAATAAAAGAAAAATTCATCTTTTTTTTGGATTTTTGAGACACGGTCTCATTATATAGTTGAGACTGACCTGGAACTCACTATGTACCCCAGGCTGGTCTCATACTCACAGCGATCCTCTTGCCTCAGCCTTCCAAGTGCTGGGATTATAGGTGTGCGCTACTACGCCTGGCTGAAAATTGGTCTTAATTGTAGAAATTACAATTCACACTGGTTTCACACTGGTTTCCCTGTTTTCCAGCTTTACTATGTGTTACAAGCTTGTTTTATATCTTGTCAATCGTCTCTGTTGGGCTGCTCTTTGCATACTACACCAAACCAGATGGCTGCACAGAAAACAAGTTCTTCATCAGCATTAATCTGATCCTTTGCATTGTGGTTTCTTTTATCTCCATACTCTCAAAAGTTCAGGTATGGTTATTTTCTGCTGTTTCCTCTGAAAAGTTTTTAAGTAATGCTGAGCTTAAACCTATGTAGCCTTTCAGTGAGTTTGTTTATGTTTACTCACTTAAATATTTTTCCATTTTGTGATACTCTTCATAGCAACTTAATAAAGGTGTTGAGTGCCAATATCGTAACTAGTTTCACTATCATTAAAGAAAGCTAGGTGACTTGGAAATACATAGTTCTTATAGAAATGTTTAAATCATGGGAATGATTCTGAGTAGCCAAGATTTTAAAAATGAAAAAGATGGCTGGTTTTAATATTTAAAAGCAAAATGCTCCTGTGTTTCATCTTAAAAGTGTTATATGTGGCTGGAAGTGTAACTTAGTGGGAGAATTCAGGCCTGCATTTGATCACCAGCATCAATAAATAATTAATAGACTGAAAAATTCCTGGAGTTTGAGGTATAATGTCTAGGTACCATCTCACCTTTTAAAAGAGAAAACTGAAAGAAGTGATGGATCATGTAGATAGGTAGTAGTGGTAGGGCTGAGTTTAGACTCTTGCCATTATATCAGGGACTAGGGAATCAGTGGCCCCGTGTCATACATGCGCACTTTTAGGATTATGAAATGCCTTAAGAACCGGTAGTAGATGCTTTGTTGTTCTTAAAGATTTTGTAGGCCAGCTCATACTAAAAGGTTACTTGTCATCTTTCAGCTATCAAACAAAATGGAAGGTTCTCCATTACTAACACACCAGTGAATCCCAGGGAATTACACTGGCTTTTAGAAAGTCAGCCCTTGGGATTTTTATGGCATTGTCTTCCTTTTGACTCCATAGGAACACCAGCCTCGTTCTGGCCTCCTGCAGTCCTCTATCATCACGCTGTACACCCTGTACCTCACGTGGTCAGCCATGACCAATGAACCTGGTAAGGGAACGTCAATAACTCATTTGATAAAAATAGAGAAGTATTTCTTTGGTGGGTCAAAAACTAGTAGTAGTATAAATGTGAAATGAATAGCAACTACACATAAATATACAGTGTTTACTGAAGGTTTGTAGATACTTTGTTTTATTCCCCATATCTCTTCTTAACTACTCATAGCTGGCAGCCTGAAGGACCACCTTCCTTTAGAGAGACTGGGTCTAGCTAGGACTGAGTCATACTGGTCAAGAGCTCTGGACACAGGTGACTTTGTTTTGGCCTTTTGTAGAGTTAATTGAGTTTTACTTAGGTGTCATAGGTTCTAACAAATAGCTAGAGAAAATCTCTTTTTAGAGCTATTATACAATTATTTCTCAGGATATCCTGTTAACTTTTTAAGGTATACAAAATTGCAGACCCCCACCCAGGAACAGTCTAATTTTTATTAAGTAACTATGTTTAAAGAAAACCAGGGGTTAGTGCCTGTATTAACCTTTGGCACTGTAGAACTAAAAAGATTTGACCTTTAAACCAGTGATGGCAAACCTTTTAGAGCTTTCAATGATACAAATAGCCCACTGTGGCACGTGTGCTGTAAGCTCACCACCACTGCTTTATTTTTATTTACTTATTATTTTTTAAATTTTTGGTACTGGGGATCAAACTCAGGACCTTGCACTTGCAAGGCAGGCGGTGGAACCACTGAGCTAAGTCCCTGGTCTAACCACCACTCTTTTAAACCATGAAACCAATGATATCACAATAGATATTTGTGAAATTTGATAGATAATGTTTCCTTTTTGGTCCTAAAACTAAATCACTGGTTGTGACACAAACGTTACCAACTGCTGAATTTCAGGTGTTTTTCAGCATAGCACGTACATCTGGACTGGATGCTGTGTAGGCAGCCTCAGATCCTCCTTGCTGTAGATGAGCTAAAACTAAGGCTGCACATGTTCCCCTTTTCAGACCGTTCCTGCAACCCCACCCTCTTGAGCATCATTACACACATCGCTGCACCGACTGTGGCTCCTACAAACACAACTGCTGTGGTCCCCACCTCAGCTCCGCCATCAGGGAATGGGCACTCTCTGGACTCAGAGAGTGTGTTGGGAGTAATTGTCTTTGTTATCTGCCTTGTGTATTCTAGGTAAGTTAAAAGGGATCTTGGTATAATAATCTTGTCAATGTTAATAGTGGAGTCAAGAGAAGCTATTTTGCTTTCAGAACCAGTGTGAGGAATTAAAACAACTGAGATATCTTTAATGAAAAGTCCTTTACTCATCTCATTTACTCAGTTTGGTATATTTTCTTAACAGTTCAGAAAATCATCTCATCAGATAATTCCTTCCAGTTACATACAGAGATGTCTTCTTTTTGTTGTTGTTGTTGTTGTTTTGGTTTCTTGAGACAGGGTCTCACTAGGTAGTTCAGCCTGACCTAGAACTCACGATAGCCCAGGCTGGGCTCGAACTCAAAGCAGTCCTCCTGCCTCAGCCTCCCAAGTGCTGGGATTACAGGCGTGCACCACCACGCCCGGCAAGAGATGTCTTCTTTTTATAGGAGGATGAAATCCTCTCTTTACGCTATGTAAACTAGAACAGTGGTTCTCAAAATCAAGTGGGTTATCTCTTCAGAGAAAAAATATTGGGGTTGGAGGTACAGATCAGTGGTAAAGAGTTTCCCTGGCATTCTCATGGCCTTGTGTTTGATCTCTAGCATTGCAAAAATTTTTTAAAAAAATTTTTTTAAAAAAAGGTTGTTTTCTGATGGTAATACATAATTCAGCTGTAGAATTTTTTTATCTATCCATCTATTTATATATATAGATATATCTGTATATATAATTTTTTCTTTTTTTAAGTTTCCAGGAAAAGAAAGAGGGCTGGGGAATGTAGCTTAATGGCACTGCCCCTGCCTGGCAAACACAAGGTCCTGAGTTCCATTTCTAGTACTGGGGAAAAAAAACTTTCCAGTTAACATGTTAACCATTAACACCCATCCTTCCATTTTTGTTGGTGCTTTTTGTACAATGGCAGATATTACTTTATTTATTTATACTGTATTTTGTTTTTTGAAACAAAGTCTCACTGTGTAGTTCAGGCTAGCCTTGAACTCACTACATAGCCTAGGCTGGTCTTAAACTCATGGCGATCCTCTTGCCTCAGACTCCATAGTGTTGGGATTCCTGGTGTGCATCACCACACCCAGCTCTACTTTGATAATTAAAAAATATAAAATTACCAAAATAGGCAAGGATAATTTTATATGTTAATAAAATAAGAGAAGATATGTATAAAGTAGGAGATGAAGGTATCTTTCCTCCATATCTTGTCCCACATGAGTAACATTTTGACAAATAATACTGTAAATTGCTTTCCTTTGTTAATTCTTTTTTTTTGTACCAGGGATCGAACCTAAGGCCCTTGTGCTTATGAGGCAGGCTCCAGAACCACTGAGCTAAATCCCCGGCCCTCCTTTTTTAATTCTATCTGTATCCCTGGATATAATTTTATATGTACATCATTTTATATCATTTGATATATAATTTTAAAATTAGGAACATACACTATAAATATACATATCTGAAATAGGAATTTGTGGATGGTTTTTCACATTATGTGTATAGATTAACTTAATTTGTGAAAAAGATTGCTTATGTTAGGTGCAGGGGAACCTGCCTGTAATGCCAGCTACTCTGAGGCTGAAGCAGGAGAAGCTGAAGTTTGAGGCTAATCAGGGCAATTTTGCAAGACCCAATTTCAAAACAGCTAGGGCAGGACTTAGGCATGATGGCACTCACCTGCAATGCCAGATCTCAGAAGGCTGAGGCAGGAGGATCACTAGTTCAAGGCCAGCCCAGGCTACGTTAATGAGAGCCTCAAAAACAAATAAAAACATAAAATGAGGGGTGCTCCTGGGGAAGTAGCTCAGTCATGTCTGAGGCCCTGTGTCTCCAAAAAGAAAAAATCCTTAGAAGGTGAATTGGCAAACTGTAGCCCTTGGGTTGGCTTCCAGTTTTGTCAGTAAAAATTTTCTAGCTCAGAGGTTTACTCCTCTGTTTCTCTGTTGTCTATGACTATTATGCTTTTGGCCTAACTTTTGTTGAGATAGAATTCATATACCATAAAATCCATTCCACTCACATAGCCAGTTCAGTAGGCTTTTAGTATTCACAGGGTTGTGCAACTATCATGACAATTGAAAAACATTTTTGAGGTGGGAGTGTGGTTTAGTAGTACAGTGCATGCCTAGCTCATGTGAGGCCCTGGGTTTGATCCCCAGCCACTCACAAAAAAATTCTGTTCCTCTGAAGTGTACCCACTAGCAGTCACTGCTATGAAAAATGCAGCTACTAATATTTGTGTGTAAGTTTTTGTGTGGTTGTATTGATAGGATAGGGCATGGTGATTGCACCCAGAACTTGCACATAAGCTACGAACTCCTTTTTTTATTTTTTGTTTGAGACAGGGTATCACTAAGTATTACCCAGACTGAGCTCAAACTCATGGTGCTCCTCCCTCAGCCTCCTAGATTGCTGGGATTACAGACACGTGCCAACACACTTAAAGTGGCTGTTTGTTTTTAGTTTTGTTAGATATATAGCTAGTGCTGGAATTTGTGAGTTATATGGTTAGTTCTTAACTTTTTGAGAAGCTGTCAGAATGTTTCTGGATTGGCTGCATTTATATTCTAGTCCTTTTAGCAGTGCATGACTTCTTTAGTTTTACCATCTCCTTATCATTCCGATGTCTTTTTTATTGTAAACACACAATAGGGGGTGTGATGTAGCATTTCATTTGGTTTTGACTTATATTTCCCTGATTACTAACAATAATGGGCATCTTTTCATGTAATTATTGGTCATTTGTATCATTTTCTGTAAAGAAATGTCTATTTAAATTTGTTTTTAAATTGGGTTGTCTTTGCCAGGTGTGGCGCACACTTGTAATCCCAGCACTCGGGAGGCTGAGGCAGGAGGATCGCTGTAAGTTTAAGGCTAGGCTGGACAACATAGTGTCTTTAAGCCCAGCCTGAACTACATAGTGAGGCCCTGTCTGAAGGAAGAAAAAAAGGATTATCTTTTTATTGTTTCTGTATGTGGTTTGAGGTAGGAGGTCCAACTTTCTTCTCCCTGTGAATAATTAGTTGTTCTGCTCTATTTGCTGAAAAAACTTTTTTCCCTCATTAAATTGTAATGGTATCCTTGACAAAAATCACTTGATTCATGAATTTTAAAAAGTTTAGGGCTAGGGATTTAGCTCAGTGGTTCTGGTGCCTGCCTTGCAATTGCAGGGACCTGAATTCGATCCTCCGTGCAAAAAAAAAAGTTTATTTTTGTGGTACTGGGGATTGAACTCGGGACCTTCACACTGAGCTATCTCATTTAGGTCTTTGTTTGCTTTTGGTAGTTTATAGTTATTAGTGTATTACTTTTTTTGATGGTATTGTAAATGAAATCAGTGTCTTTTAAGTTTTATTTCTAGTATATAGCAATACAATTGCTTTTTTTGGTGTGAGACAGAGTCTCACTGTGTAGTTCAGGTGGGCCTTGAACTAACTACATACCCCAGATTGGCTGATTGAACTAACTTGTGGCTATCCTCTTGCCTCAGCCTCCGAAATACTTCGGCTACAGGCATGTGCCACCACACCTGGCTTGCTTTTTGTATATTGATCCTGTATTCTGCAGTCTTGGTAAACTTTTTATTTTATTGTTTCTTTGAGACAGGGTCTCACTATGTAGTTGAGACTGACCTGGAACTTACTATGTCGCCCACGCTGATCTTGAACTTACAGCAATCCTCCTGCCTCAGCCTCCTGAGTGCTGGGATTACAGGCGTGTGCCACCAAGCCTGGCTAAGGCTTCTTTCTGATTTGTCTTCCTTGGGATCATTTTCCAGCATCCGCACTTCCAACCACAGCCAAGCAAAGAAGCTGACCCTCTCGGGGAGTGACAGCGTGATCCTTGGTGACACAACTGCCAGTGGAGGTGGTGACGAAGAGGATGGGCAGCCTCAACGGGTTGTGGACAATGAGAAAGAAGGAGTACAGTACAACTACTCCATGTGCCACCTGATGTTCTGCTTGGCTTCCTTGTATATCATGATGACCCTGACCAACTGGTACAGGTAGGAGGCATAGACAGAACATACGGAGGACCACTTAGCCCTTGCACTGCCTAAAAATCTTTAGCTATTGTCCTGACCACAGAGTCTCTTCTCTTACTCTTTGTTTTGGTACTGAGGATCGAACTCGGGTCCTTGAGTTTGTGAGGCCGGCGCTGGAACCACTAAGCTAAGTCCCCTGCCCTTCTCTTACTCCTCTTATGAAGCTGTGTTGGGTGCTCTTTTCTAAAATACTTTTACTTTTTTTTGTTTGTTTGTTTGTACTGGGTATCGAACTTGGGTCCTTGTGCTTGCAAAGCAGGAAGTGGAACCACTGAGCTAAATTCCCGGTCTTTAAAATACTTTTGATTTTGCCTCCTCTAGCATTAAAACCCAATTGGGATTCTTTGCAGTACAAATCATCTGGAGCTGAGTTGGGTTAAGACAGAAAATCGGGACGTAAAGCAGTCTACCCATCTTTGTTTACTAGTTTTCTCTGTGCGTAGATGTGGCCATTATCAGAGTATTCTGCTCAAAGTAATAATGCACTGAGGAAGGAGTTTCAAGGAGGCCATTTCAGTCTAGACTTCTGCCAGTAATTAGCCAGATATTCCTGAAGAACCTTGCACTAAGAATAGCTGGAGTCTTTTATGCTGAAGCAGAGTCCTATACTCAAAACAGCTAAAAAGAGCAACTTGCTTAAGTCTCCTACTAGAATCCTGTGCGGGTAACAATGCTACCCAGTCTTTGCTGGGAAGTTTCTTGGACTTGGCTGAGAGGAGCTGCAGGATGTCAATACCAGGTTCCTTTACTTTTTTGTTTGTTTGTTTGTTTTTGTTTTTGTTTTTTTGGTTTTTTGAGACAGGGTCTCACTATGTAGTTGAGACTGACCTGGAACTCACTATGCAGCCCAGGCTGGTCTCAAAACTCAGAGCGATCCTCCTGCCTCAGCCTCCCCCGAGTGCTGGGATTACAGGCGTGTGCCACCATGCTCAGCTCCTTTACTTTTTTTGAGACAGGATCTCACTATGTAGTTTGGCTGGCTTGAACTCATGGTGATCCTCCTGTCCCGGCCTGGCAAGGTTCCTTTACTTGATGTTCTTGATTTCTAGCCCTGATGCCAAGTTCCAGACCGTGTCCAACAAGTGGCCGGCCGTGTGGGTCAAGATTAGTTCCAGCTGGATGTGCCTCCTCCTCTATGTCTGGACCCTCGTTGCTCCACTCGTCCTCACCAATCGGGACTTCAGCTGAGCTCTGGTTCCCAAGGACTGCTGATGCTGAAGTTCATAAAGGTCACCTTTGCTGAAAACTCTTGTCCTTTTTTTTTTTTTTTTTTTTTTTTTTCTTTTCTTTTTGTACCAGGGATTGAACTCAGGATCTTATGCTTGTGAGGCAGGAGCAGTGCCACTGAGCTAAATCCCTGGCCCCCCCTTCATGTCCTTTTAAGTTTGGTTCAACGAAACTACTATGTGAATGCTTTGCAAATTTGCCTACATTCAGGTTTATATCAAAAGGCAAGATTAAATAATGCTCAGTGCAGAATCTGAACCTTTCAGTTCTGTGTATATTGTGCTTATTTGTAAGGCTATAGCACACAGGGAACATTTTTATGTGGTAAAGTGAACTACAGCTGTGCTGTCAAGAAAGTTCTTTATAAAGACCTATAGGTTCCTACAGTTTTGATTTAAAATACTAGAAGAAGAATGTTGAATATTTGAAGCTATGGTTAATATATTTCTATTGAAGTCTCCTTAAAAAGCAAGAAATAATGCATTTATATGACATTTTCCTCTGTTGAAGGTCTTTATTGTGTGATATAAGCAGAGGAGTAGCACTGTAGTTCTTGGGTAAGGATTAATAGGCGAGTCCCTCCCCAGAAGAGTGCTTGCTGATTAGGCTGCTTTTACATCTTGAGTTTATTTCCTTTTTTAATATGACAGCATTGATGCTGCTTAATATGTCTGTGGCTTTGCCAAATATGTTAATTTCAATAAATGCTTTGTAGGTTTGATTAAAATGAATATTCATTTGGGAAAACACTACAGTGTATGCGTAGTCTTCTTGTTATGAGTATGTAAAAGTAAAGTGCATGTGAATTTATTATATTTGCACTAAAGGTATTTGGTTAAAATAGATACAAGCTTTTAAGGCACTTCAACAGCTTTTTGCAATAGCAGCCATTCATTATTTTTGTGCAGTCACAAGTTTATTTGGTATCTGTCTACCCAGGATGCTCTTCTTTGTTTTAACACCTAGTGAGCCAAGTCTTCAAATAGGTGAGACTTTGGTAGATGAAAGACAATTAAGGTGCTGACAAGCATTTCCTGAGAGGCAGCATATAGGGAGCTGGGATAAGGAGGTACAGTGGCACACGCCTGTAGCCTCAGCACTTAGGAGACGGAGGCAAGTTTGAGGCCAGCTTGGGATACACAGTGAGTAGTTCAAGGCCAGCCTGAACTACATAGTGAGCCCTGTCTCAGCAAACCAAAAATAAGTAAAGAGGTAGAATAAAAACAGTTCCTTCAAAGATTAACTGATTTTTCTGTGCCAGGCCCTGTAGGTTTTGTATCTGGAGGTATGGTTAGACATTTTAGGAAAGACATAGTATACATAGCTCTTTCATTTGGACTTACGGTTAGAGGGGAGTGAAAATGAGCTGCTGGGTGTTTACAATCTGGTAAATTAGTGCTGTGATTTCAGAAGTGCAGAGAACTCAAGAAGTACCTGAATAGAGGGTGTCATGGTGGACTGCCTGGAGAAAGTGCTACCTAAACCAGGAACTGTTGTAGGAGTCCGCTAAGAGAAAAGTGGGACAGTGAGGTGACATCGCTGAAGAGAAGCCAGAGTAACATGCTTGGTTTTTGTTTTTTTTGAGACAGGGTCTATGTAGTTGAGACTGACCTGGAACTCACTATGTAGCCCAGGCTGGTCTCCAACTCAGCAATCCTCCTGCCTCAGCCCTCCCGAGTACTGGGATTACAGGCGTGCGCCACCATGCCTGGCTCTAGAGTAACATGCTAATAAAGTCAAGGAAGTCAAGCAGGAATGGAGGGGCAGTACCGGGGAACTGAGTGGCAAAGGTTTTATTAAACCCTCATGAGAGCTTAGATCTTACGTTGAGGGTGGCAGAAAGCATATTCAGAGTGACATGAACAGACAATGTCTTTATCACTGGCTGCTAGAAAGTGGCTGGATTTAGAGATGATACTGAGATTTGAAATAGAGAAGTGGGGGAGGAGAAATTGACAGCTGAGAGCAACTTGGCAATTAGATTTTTGATTTTTTTTTTTTTTTTTTTTTTTTTTTTTTTGGTACCGGGGATTGAACTCAGGACCTTGTGCTTGTGAGGCAGGTGGCGGAACCACTGAGCTAAATCCCCAGCAGGTAATTACAATTTTAACATTGGCAATTAATTAGATATAGGGAGAGTTTAATTTCCTCAGTGATTAATCATCCAGGTAGATGGTAGTCCCACTTATAGTGGACCCATGACTTAGGAACTCGATTCGTTCCCCAGGACTGATTGTAAATCAAGTTGGTCAGTTGCTTTCAAAGTGTCTCTCCTGTATAATTTTAGGTGACATTTTCTTCCAGACAGATCTCAGTGTCCTTAGAGACTGACCCAGGATTTCTCAATTAACCCCACATAGGAAGAGATCAACAACCCTTTAAGGGTTAAATCTGTATGAGACCATCTGGAAGCACATGTGGCTGGCATAGGGGTTGTAACCCAAGACTGGTCGTAAGTTAAAACTAAAATTCTGGTCACGACCCAAGTTGTTTGTACGTCAGGCTGGTTGTAACTCGGAAGGTTCACTGTATTTAGATGGGAAGCAGGAAGAAGCCCGGATTGTGTTACAGAGAAGAAAGTGATTCCTTAGGAAGGATTAATAGGCTAATAGGTTAACAGATCTTTGGATTTGCATCCCCGCTTTGATATCTATTTTCTAGATGCTAAACTGGTCGGCTAATACCGAGTATGTACTATGCTTCATGATCCTGGGCAAATGATTCTACATCTCTTTGCCTTGGTATTAGAAGTTTATACATAAATACAGCTATTTTGCAAGATGCTTAAACCACTTTAAGCACTCTGACAGTGGCTGCTAATCTCAGTGTGGGTTAATAGACTGGTGACAGTCAGACCAGTGATGTTCGGAAGCTGATGGAGGTTGGGTTAGTGCTGCTCTTACAGTATGAGGAGGGAGGTAGGGAAGCAGCACTCGCTGTGAGTTGTTGGAAGCACCGTTCTTCACTCCAGTGGTTTGTGGTAGGGAGAGATGTGGATAAAGTTGCAAAGGCTTTGCAGGGCAGATAGGTTTGGCCCTTGATCTCTCCTGTGTAAAGCACATACCCTACTTCACAGCAGGGGAACTACAGTAAAAGCACTGAAGGTCAAAAACGTCAGAAAATTCCAGTGTTCCATCTCTTCACCTTACGTAATTCAAAATAAAAGCAGTACTATCCTGTAGAATAATGTAACAGAGTCCAGTAAAGTGTTTTACTTTTTTGTCATGGTAACTTTGATATTAATTTGAAGTAAGAAATTTTTTAAAATTGGGGGCAGTATGTCGTCTTTGGTTGGTCATCTAAGAATGTTAGTTCTGCTTGTTAATAGGAAACGCAGTCATTCACTGAAGACCCAACTGAATCATACATGTGAGTGCTGAGTGACATACAAATGCGTTTTGAGTAAGCCCAGGATCATACTTCAGCAGAGGAACATTTAGAATCATTGGATCTCGAGGTGTCATTTTATTTCAGATGAGCCACCTGGTGTTTCATCACTAGGAGGAATAGGCCTATCTGCCCCCTACGGCTGCTGATTGAGGGTCCTGGCTCCTGGATCAGTGGCACACTCTAGGATTCATCAAAGGCCACAGCAGTGGCTTCCACCTTACCAGTTGTGAGAAAGCTGGTAGGCCCATGTTGGATTAGTTCATTCTCTAGGTCGGTCTTTTAAGGTACTTGGCTGGGAAATAAAACTCTGAAGTGAAAATATTGCCAAAGAATGACATGAACTTAGCACTATAGCTTTTGATGTTCTGGATCGGATCATAACTCAGGTCTAATTTCGTCAAAGCAAGACAGACTTTTTGCCATTATAGGTCTTTTCTTAACTGTATTTTTCTTTTTACACATCAAGCTAAAGTAAGTATTTAGATAACATCTGCATTTGATATGTATAGATTGACAGCAGATACCAGCCTTATGCTTATTAATAGGCAAGTGCAATCACCTGAGTTTGATCCCTGGTACCGCAAACAAAACAGAACAAAACAGGAGCTGCTGTTCATTTCTGTGCTTTTGCTGTGTTGGTCTGCCCATCCTGTCACTAGGCACCCAAATCCTTCAGGCTCCTTACTGATGTCCTGATTACTGCTGGGTGACTTAAGCCACACAGTGCCTATGTCCTCAGGTGAAGAGTAATTAGTAGATGCTACATAGCTGTGTATGCTAAGCGGTGGGTGATTGGATGTATCTGCACTCCTTTTTTTTGGTACTGGGGATTGAACTGGGGACCTTGCGCTTGCGAGGCAGGTGGCAGAACCACTGAACTAAATATCCAGCCCTGCACTCCTGTTAAGGTGGTAATTTCCCTTCTTCCCCTTTACAGATCAACCTGAGGCTGAGAGAGGTTAATAAACTTGCCCAGGGTTACCCAGGAAGAGGCAAAGCTTAGAGACAAACGTAGGGTTTGAGTTCTTTCTCAAACAGACCTTTTCTTTGGGTCTGCATGGAGACATATAGGGGAATCACCTGGCTCACAAAACTACTTATGATGTAAAGGAAAGTTAATACTATTGGGTGGAGGCAGTCACTATCATCTTTCTAGGTTACTCTATCCTTATGGACTGGCACCCAGTCAGATAAGAGCGTAAGCATTGGTTAAAAAATTTTCCCTAAAAAGCTGGGTGTGGTGGAGCATGCCTGTATCCCAGCACTCGGCAGGCTGAAGCAGGAGGGTCGAAGTTTAAGCCCAGCATGGGCAACTTGGCGACCCAGTGAGACCTTATCTTAAAATAAAAATAAAGGGCTGAGAAGTGTAGCTCAGTGCAGAGATCCAGAGTTCCATCCCCAGTACTAGGAAAAATAAATCCCTAAGTGGTACCCTAAAGGATGTTATTACTAACTTCATTTATTTGGTGTTAAGGATGGAATCTAAAGCAGCGAATGCTTAATACACACTCTGCCACTGGCTTGCATTCCCCCAGCCCTCCTCACCAGCTGCAAATGCAGAAATGTAAAACTCACTGCCACCGACAGGAAGTGCCACACCTATAATGTGATGAATAGGCACCGAGAATGCCCATTCAGGACATGGAAATGGAGGATTGGCGTTGTTAGCTCCCATTTTCCAAAGTGGGAGAGACACCATGCTTTAGCTGCACAGCTTCCTCAGGAAAGTCTGGCCTAAAGAGCTGCTGGTGCTGCAGCCTAAGGACTTCCTGGTTGCGGCATCAGAAGCTGGCAGAGCCTGCGTCCGGTACTGGGAGTTTCTCAAATGCCTCAGCACTATGCCAGGTCCTCTGGGCACCCAGCTGTTGTCTACACTGGGGCCGAGTCTGTGCCCTGTCATGAACACAGATGACAGGTAAAGATAGTTTAGCATTATGGCACCGGAGTTGGGCAAACCACACCCACGACCCTCGAGGAGTCCGGGCTTCCTTATAGTGCTTCTGGGATAAAATGTTGAGTCATAACCTGGGTCTCAGATGTAAAGAACTGCTGCATTCTAATTCCAGAAAAGAAGCTTTTCTCTATGAACAAAACTTCCTCACACTCTATAAAAATTCCTGCCTTTCCTGTTCTCTCAGGGGTGGGTTGCTAGACTGGGGAAATAAGAGATGGGCACCACCTGGCTCTGGTCAGCAGGTCCGCCTGGCGCAGGCCCCACCCACACTGACTTCGATGGCCAACTGTACTGCCCACTAGCTGTGTTCTTGGGCAAGCCGCTTCATTGTTCTGTTTCACCCTCGGGGCGATGCTGCTGCTTCCTGAAGGACATCAGAAGGTTAAATGAGATGATGTATTGTATGTACTTAACATGTGCTCACCCAGCAGCTCTTCGGAATTGGAAGGATCAGAGGCCAGTACTAAGAAGCATCACTGGGCCTCCAGAACTGAAAAATCTGCAAATTGCTTCTATTAAATGTAGCTAACTCCATTATCTTGTACACCCTGGTGTATAAAGCTCAGTGCATGTACCTTTGGAGGCATTCAGCCCAGCGTCCGCCATAGGGCCCTCCTGGCCTCAACTAGAGGGAAGGCTTTGCCTATCAGTAACCTCAGAATCTTTACCCAGATTGTCATCATCACAAAAGAACTCCACATGTACTCCACCTTAAAGGGATTTTTATTGTTTAAGACCCAGTCATGCATACTAAAGTTAACATATTTTCACCACTCTGACTTATAAAAATGCACTAGAAAAATAAACATTCGGTCAAAACAAATACTGAAGTAGATGAATCCACCATGTCCTTATACATAAAGCCAAACTGAATTTCAGTTTGAAGCAAGGAATGTGACCAGTGGCTGAAATGGTGCCCCAGCTGGTCAGGAAATTAGCCCAGTTCCCACCCCATCAGAGTGGTGTCAGGCTTGTAACCACAGAGAAGTTTCAAGTATTTTACTTACATAGGTTCTTACCTGACACACCAGCAGCCAAGGCAGGTCTATAAAAGCCCACAAAAGCAGCCAATGTACTGTCTGACTAAATGTGCTGCTCAGTGAGAGTTTGAAAACCTGTTAACTGAAACCAGTAAATCCACTGTCATCTCTGTCCATAAGTCACACTGGACCTTCTCATAAAGCAAGCTCCTGTTAAGAATATTTGATGTTTCTTTGATTTCACGCACACCATTTCTGAATCGGGAGAGCAAAAAGGACCTTAGATTTACAGAGCTAACATTCCAGGACTGAGCTGTTAACCAGGACTGGTATCTCTGAGCAGTCCACGTTTGGAGCCTTAATGCCTCTCATAGCCACACTTAGATTAGCTTAGCTGAGATCTTATTCTCTAAACAAAGGTTTCAAAGGAAAACCTGACAACTTTTATTAAATGAGGTAATAATGCCACAACAGGATACCTTTTGCTGCTCACATGGAAAAGTAATCCCATGACTGATCTGAGCGTAAGTCAACATTTACAGGGACTGCACTCAGGGCCAGTAGGCACACGAGAAGTGCTTCCTGTCATCCCAGCTTTCTTGCAAGAGCTGTACCTGGTAACCTGTAGTGTTTATAAGCCTGAGTCAAATGATTCCTCCAGAAAGCAGGATGAAGTGTGAACAATCCCAAGCTACCTCGGGTAAAAATAAAAGTCAAAGTGTGAAGACAGGGTTGCATTTCTGGCTGCTGGACAGACTTAACTTGCCTCATGAAGGTAGAACAGAAGGTTCTAGGAAGAGGCATTTTTCCAGAATTCTGGGTAGGGGGATAGGGGAAGAGGAGAAAGGAAAGCCCTATATACCTAAGCTCACAGACTGATTTGGAAGCTTTAGTTCCCAAAATTTTCAGACTTAAATTTCCTATATTCACAAGGAGAGAAAACAAAACAAAACAAAACAAACTCTTGAATACAATGTACTTCAAAATTTTCAGACTTAAATTTCCTATATTCACAAGGAGAGAAAACAAAACAAAACAAAACAAAACAAACTCTTGAATACAATGTACCTGTGGCAGTGAAACCAATTAGATGCCAGGAACAGGAAGTTCAGGCTGGGTGTGGTGGCACATGCCTGTAATCCAAGAACTAGGAAGGCTGAGGTAGGATCACTGCAAGTTCAAGGCCAGCCTGAGCTATATAGTGAGACCTTATCCTATAGATTCAGGGGTATGAAGGGGCTCATTCAAGGTGACCTAGGAGAATAAAGCTGGCACTCAATTCTAGTTTACTGCGTTTTCTTCCCAGTACACTACCATGAATGTAGAGAAAGGTTACTTTCCAGGTGTTTGTGAAACTTGTGTAACTTTTCCCTGTTGGAGAACACTCCCCAGGTTTCAGTGTTCCTTTGTTGGTTCCACCAGGAGTCTCCCCACACTACTAAGCATAGTCCCTGGTCAACACAGCCCCTGCCTTGGTTTGCACCAGGGAGGCCCTGGTTCACAGCTTGGTCCAAACCTCCTGAGGTGCAAGATTATTTGATCTCTCTTTGGAGCCAAAACAAATTACAGCACCTCCCAAGTGGACCAAGCCACAGGCATACTTCTCTCAGAAGCCTTTTGAAAGAAATCACTCTGGGTCCAACAAAAAAGGCCAGGGAAATGAGTGACATCCTTCCTGGTCTTTTGTTTTTTTTTTTCCTCCCTATACTGAGGAACATCCCCAGCCCTTCTTATTTTTGATTTTCAGACAGGGTCTTGCTAAGTTGCCCAGGCTGGGCTTCAGCTTTTGAGGCCCCTCAGCCTCCTGAATAGCTGGAATTAAAGGTGTGACACCATGCACTGCACCTCTCTGGTCTTCGGTAGGCCTCACAGATGCCTGGCCATCCCTGTGTTAAGTCACAGACAAAAGCAACGGCAAGCGCTATGACGCAGGATCTAATCCTCAGGAACGTGGTGGGGCTTAACGCCTGATCCTTCCTTTTGTCTAGTTTTGGTTTGGCTGTTTTCTCTCTCTAACGCCTCTCACCAGCTTGTCCGTCCAGGCTGTGGGGTTCTGAACGTCGTCTCACCCATCCTCCTCATGTCCTTTCAGCATTGCTGGTCCTATCATTGTCGGAGGGAACTAAGGGCAGCAGTGGGCGTGCATTTTGGCACTTCAGGCCCAGCCAGAACCCTAGAACCTAGGGTTAGTAGCTAGGGTGAAAACAACTGTCCGCAGAATTATCATTAATGAGGTCAGTACATTAATTTCAACCCAAACTTACGAAGATGTTTTTAAAATTGCTGTAAAGATGAACAGCTATGTAGCACAGACTGACCTTTGAATTCGAGTGTTTTCTCTGAGCAGTCCGCCTGGCCGGCAGTCTAAATGCAGAGAAGGTATATGCACAACAAGAAGTACTTGTCATTATTTAACTCCGTAATCACAAGAATGAATATGAAAGGAAATAGGTTGAAAGCTACCAGATGAACCACCTAATATGGTGCTTGAGTTAAGTAAGGCTAAAGTCTTGACAGGGAGGGTCTAAAGTGCTGAAGTGGTGACTAACTTTCAGGCTGATGAAACCAGTGGGGATACAGGGGCCCCAGAGGTGACTTGGCAATAACCTGACCCTAGGTGTATTTCCATCATGGCCAGGTTTACATTATACTACTAGGGTCTCGGGAATGGAAAATTCATACAAGATCCAAGTCCCCTCACCTGGAGGCCTGCCCAGAGCAGTCTTTTTTTTTTTTTTTTTTTTTAAAGACAGGGTCTCACCATGCAGTCCAGGCTGTCCTCAAACTTCAATCATCCTTCCTCAGCTTCCTCGGTGGCTGAGATTATAGGTAAAAGCTATCCTCTGAAAGTTTAACCATCACTAGAAAAAGGAAAAAGGGAGTTGGTGTCACTGAATTCCAGAATGCACATACTTTTTGTTTTTGGTTTTGATGGTACTGGGGATTGAACCCAGGGCCTTTGCACTGAGCTACATCCCCTGCACTTTCTATTGTGTGTTTTGGATAGGGTCTCACTATGTAGCCCAGGCTGGCTTTGAACACACAGTGATCTTTCTGCCTCTGCCTCCTGAGTATTGGGATCATAGGCGTGCGCCACCACACCTGGCTGTCCAGCACTTTTTGAGACAGTCTCACTAAGTCACTGAGTTGCCCTGCAATGCTTGAACTTGGGATCCTTTTACCTTACTCCCATGGTGCTAGGATTACAGGTGTGTGCCACCATGCTGGCTGTACATACTTTCTTTACAGGCTGGGTTAAGTGGTGACACTTCTTCATAGAAAGGCCTGTGTGTACCATAAAAACAACCAGGATCCAATTTTACAGATAAGAAAGCCTAGGCCCACAGTGGCCCATGTCTGATCCAAACACATCTGCAGCTCAGGTCTCTGACTCCTAGGCCAGAATTCCTTCAGCTATACAGGCCCATCATCCGTTATTTTATACTAAGCAAAATCAGATAACTTCCAGGCCTATATGATTCCATTGAGAACCAGGGCTAAGGCTTTATAGGTTTGGGAAAAAAGTTTCTATTGCAACATTTGGTCTGTGAGTCCAGGGATTCTCCGAAGTCTCTGGCTTCCAGATTTGATCAAAGAGTGCTGCCTGGGTCCTGGTACTTCCACTGTCAGCTAAGGCGATGGCAACTGGGGCCAGACCTCCGGCTTGAAGATTCCTGATGAGCAACAGAGCTAAACAGTTAAGGTTCTTGTGAAAGACAAAGCTGCCCCCCACCACCACCCCAAGCCACACATCTGTCCACCTTACAGGTCTGCCCAAACTGTTTCAGAAGAGTAGCTGACTGGCCAATCAGGGTTTCTCCAGGAAAGTGGGATCAAAGCAACTTTGGTGCTGATTTTCCTTGCTTCTGAGTTGAGTAAGAACCAGACACAGCTTAATAGTTGCAAAGGGCAAGTGCAAATGTTCGGGAATCTCATTGGGAATATTTTCCATATATCCTGGGAATAATTCAAGTGACCAAAGGCTTCCCCGAGGCGGCCTGGCCCAACAAGCTCCTTGGGCCATTCCTCTATGCTACCGTTTCATTACAAGGAGCAAGACTGAGTCCTTGGCACTCAAGTTCTTTTGAGTTTTTAAAGACAAAAGGAAAGGATTTAAGCCTGGTGACACCCCAGGGGCTGGCTAATAGCAGGAATACAGCTGGGACTTCACAGCTCGCATAGAGTCATCACACTGTGCATCAGAAGCCAGCCCCTCAGGCAGCTGCGCATGGCCCAGGATGCTGTTGCAGGCGGGCAGAGGTTGGCAGAACTCTCTCACAAAGTCTTCCTCGGAGGCCAGGAGCACCGCACTCCAGGTGGCGGTGTCCAGCTCTCCAGCTGTGCCCCCGTATTCCTTGGGGAGAATGTTTCTGGGGAGGTTTGTATGGAGAGAGTTCAGGTCAGACCCATGGAGGAAGAACTAAAAGGAAATACAGACACACACATGATCTTCGTTAAATCAGCAATGCAATAGTCTCCTTTGTGGTGGGTGTTCAAATGGATGTGTGTTGAATGAAGAAGGGTAACAGTAACTCTGCCCTTCCAGATCCTCAAGTCCCTAAAGCTTGGCACATCCTTAATTTTCTTTTCCGAATATGACACATCCTGTTGCCCGGACCTTCCAAATATGTTCAGCATCCAACCACTTCACCACCACCTCAGTAGTGCCATGCTGTCATCACTTCCTGAAGTCCCACATTAGCCCCTACCTGGCCTCCTTGCTCGCAGTCGTCGCACTATAACCTAAGCTCAGGTTATGCCCGCGCCTGTTTATGACTTTCCAGCACAGCCATCTCACAAAAGCCAGAGTCTGTGTGATGGATCACAAGGACTATCACACACCGGCTCCGTTACTTCCCCACTCCTCTGATCACTCTCCCTTCTGCTTTCCGTATCTACCGTGCCAGCCTCCTAGCGGCTCCCTCAGCATGCTGGGCATGTCCCCACCTCACAGTCATGCTGTGCTGGTCTCCCAGTGGCCCATATGGCTCACTCCCTCACCTCTCAACTCTTTGCTCAAATGTCAACTTCTCAGTGCCACCACCTCTAACTGCCCTGTTGTACACTGCAACCTTTTCTCCACCTCTCATACTCATTATCCCCTTCACGTGCTTTACTTTTTTTCTGTAGCACTGATCACAGTCTAATACCAGATAACAATATTCCACTGTCTATGTGTCTATGTAGAATGTAAGCCTCTCAGGGGCAGGGATTTTGGTCTGTTTTTTCCACCTCGTACATGGTAGCTGATCAGTAAATGGCTTGGAATAAATGAGGGGACAAGGGAACATATGACCCATAGACCTGTCCAAAGCAGCTTTGGTAAAAGTTCCAAATAGAATCTTTAAGAACCAATATGAGTGCACACCCATGGAGGGAAGCCTCTAAATTAGCAGGTCTCAAACCTAGCTGTGGATTAGATTTACCTAAGGAGCACTGGGCGCAGTGGTGCACGCCTATAATCCCAGCAATTTGGAGGCCAAGGCAGGAAAATCTCAAGTTCAAGGCCAGTGTGGCAAATTAGCAAGACCTTGTGTCAAAACAAAAAAGTAAGGATAGCCAGACATGGTGGTACACACGTGTAATCCTACATTCTGGGAGGCTATAATAGGAGGATCACAAGTTCGAACCCAGCCTGGGCAATTTAGCAAGACCGAAAGTTAAATTAAAAACAAAAATGTCTGAAAATAAAAAATATTTAAAAAGGGTTGGGGCTTTAGCTCAGTGCAAAGGCTCAGTACAAAGGCAAGGCCTAGAGTTCAGTCCCTAGTACTACAAAGAAAAAAGGGGAGGGAGAGCACTAGGGATGTGGTTCAGTGTTAGAGGCCTCTGTGTTCAATCCCTAGTTTAAAAAAAAAAAAAAAAAAGCCTAAGAAATTGTGAAAATCATAGATTCCTGCTGAAGTGTTAAAATCTTTAGGGAAAGGGTCTGGAAACACAGATCTGGACTTTAAGTTTTCTCCTTTGCAACTTCCAGATTATCTGTATATACTTGCTTTTTGAAAAGAGTATAAATTTGAGGATGGAGTCTCTGGAGTGACGCCAGTGTTCGTAAGCTGAAGGAGGAGAAAAGTGCCACTTGTCACATTGCAGTCAGTGGTCTTGGGAATGGTGAAGGAAAAAGGGCTCTCTTGTCCTTCAAAGTGTCATTTACCCTCTGAATTCAGAGTTAAGCAAAAATCTCACACAGCTCATAAGCCTTGAATTGCCTCCCAAACTACACAGTAAGATAACACATTAAGTAATAGGCTGAAACATGTTGTTTTTGTTTGTTTGTTTTTTGGTACCAGGGATCAAACTCTGGTCCTTGCGCTGGCCAGGCAGGCAGCGGCAGAACCACTGAGCCAAATCCCTGGCCCCGAAAAACGTTTTTGTGCATGTTTGTTTTTGAGACAGGGTCTTGCGATGTTGCCAAGGGTGGATCAATTTCCTCCATTCAAGAGATCTGATTGGCCTTAAAATCAGCATTTACAAAACAGTGTTTCTAAACTCAAAGGTGTTCTAGTAAGAAATGACCATTACGTGTATGGCTCTGATCCTACCAGTGAGGGGGCGGAGACGGGGAGGACCCCTTAACTCTTAAGGAGTCTGCCCAGTGGCCACTTTTTGCTCCTGTTTCCATATCTTCGTACACATAAAATGTAATGTATCACAATGCCTACATCAGGAGACTAAGTCTAAATGATTATGGTACAGAGAGGCACTTATGATAAAAATCCATTTGTTCCCTCAGCTGGTAAACATTATAGTCTTACTACTTTCATCTTACCCTCATAAGAAGGATTGTTCATTTATGTTTATCTGTAACTTTGTACTTTCAAAATTAGTTCAAGGGCAAAAATAATTAAGTACTAGTTGTCACAACTAAATCAAGGGAGGAAAAAAAATTTAAAGCATCTTAAGTTAAAAGGACCATCACTTACTCTGTTTGCTATTTTCTCCTTCAGAAATGGTTTTATGATGGCAAAAATGCCTTTAAATATTCGAGGTTCATTTACTATGTGGACTGCTTTTATCCGAATGGGAAAACCATCCTGTGGGCAGAAGGGGAAGGAGGGGTTAGAACACCTGCAGTGTCTGAAACTGTCCTTTCTGCAGCCAGCCTCCCCGCTTAAACCTCACATTCAGCCCCAACATCAGTCTGGCTCGACTCTCAAGGCTCCTCAAAGGTAACCTCCACTGGGGCCAAACAGGAAGACAGGGAGCCTCCTGGGAGCCAAGACTGGATCAGAGAGTTAAGAAACAGGTGGAAAGGTGTTCCTCTTATAGTAACAGTCTGAGTCTACGTGGACAGATCTGGAAATACCAGACTTTCCAGGTCAGTGCTGACCTAAATATATTTCTCAGTGTGTTCGTGTGATGTGAAAAAAAGGTTTCCAGGCAGGTGAGTTTGAGAAACAGGGTAAATACAGTCAAAAGGTTTCCTTAACTGCAATCCCGTACAGCCTTTAACACATAGATGTTTTACTGAAATTCACCAGGTAGGGCCATGCTATACTGCATTTCCCAAACTTGTTTCACTCTGGAACTTTAGGAAAATACTGATCCAGAGTCTATCCTGACACTGACGTACATGGTATTCAGCAGGGGCAGCAAAACTGAGTAGTGAGCTAGAGGTACAGCTCTGTGGTTAGTTCAGTGACAGAGCACTTACTCAGCATATGTGAGGCCTGAGTTCAATCCCTAGCACCGCAAGATAATAACAACAACAAACATCAGAGTAAAAGTTAAGGAAAGGCACAGTGGTGGCTCAAAGCCAAGAATCAGATTTATAATAATGTTTCAATGTGGCCCTGATTTCTTCAAACAATAAGCCTGGTGTACAGCAGAGACTTACACATAATGGGACTCAATGAAAGGTCCTGTTTACCCAATGCCCTGCAGTTCCCAAGAGGCAGCATTCAGGGAGGAATGAACAGGAATCTAAACCTATTACAGCTGACACGGTGGCCTGGTATAGCTTCTTTAGTACTGTTTCCCCATCTATCAAGGACACAGGGCTGGCTGTGGTGGCATACACCTGTAAATCCCAAGTACTAGAGAGGCTGAGGAAGAAGGGTCACAAGTTCAAGGCCAGAGTAGGCAACTTAGGAAGACCATCTCTAAAATAACAAAAAATGAAAGAGGTAGCTCGGTGGCAGAGTGCTTGCCTAGTATGTGCAAGGCCCTGGAATCAAATTCAATCCCCAGGACCACCACCATAAAAAAAAAAAAAAAATCTTGCTTTGACTAACCCAAGGGAATCTTTGAAGGACTGAATGGGTTATAGTGACTATAACAGTGTTTTGCAAACTGTTAAATGCTGTGCAAGCATGTAAAGAATTTTATGGTTTTTTTGTTCAGAATTTGGGCTCTGAAATGCAACATAGGAGGTCTGAAGCCTCTCATCAAAATATAGTCCCACAGAACAAAACGTCCTAGGTCCACAGAGGGCAGGAGAGGTTCCAGCACCTCAGGCAGAAGCACAATTTTTCAATTTAATTTCTTAGGAGATGCCCCCCGCCAAAGCAGAAAGCCTATCTATCTATTTTTTTTTTTTCCCTACAGGGATCAAATTTAGGACCTTGAGCTTGCAAAGGCAGGTGGCAATGTCACTGAGCTAAATCTCTGGCCCTTTTGCCTATTTTTTTGGACTCTTTCCCTAAAGCTAGTCTTGCCTAGATAGAAGCTACCATCTCTGAAAATGCCTGGAGACTGAGGAGCCAGTGGTAAACAGGAGAGTAGATGATTTCCCACTGCAGGGTGGGAAGTGGGCTTTGTATAATCAGTGAGACCTGCAGTAGATGAACGGGGCCCTGGGGAAGCCAAAGCAACCGCAGAACTGGCACGAAGCAAACAGGAGTCATACCTGAAGGATGCCAATCACCTTTTTGGCTATAAAAGGGCCGAAATGAGATGCTTTTGATAAGCTCACTCCTTTGTAGTCAGCAAGAATTACAATTCCATTCACCTGGGTTTCTTCAGACTGAATGAGTTTTTCTAAAGTCAAATATATGGCTCGGATGTTTTCGGTAATTGGATAGTTGCTTGGTATCCATCTGTCTAAGGTCATAAGACATGGACAGGATGTTACAGAAATGAATGCAAACAAGTGATTAGACAAAGATTTATCTTCTAAAACTGCTGTTTCATGATGGACAAGCAAGATATTCTTATGGTTTTGGTCCTACACAGAAACTTGTATTTCTTAATGCCAAACCCAGTGGCACATTCAAAAATGGAAATGCACCTGAATGTTGGGGTTAAAAGCCTGAAGTCAGACACAACCGGGAATCTGAACCTTACTAGCAGTGCGACCTTGGGTAAGTTGCTTCCTCACTCTGAGCTTCTACCTGCTCCTAAGTAGAAGAGGAAAAGGATACCTACCTTTGTGGAAATCTATGCTTGTGACCCCCAGATTTTTCCCCTGATCTTCATAACCACCACCCTGATTGTCCTTGGGGAACAACCAAGAGGAGCCATGCGGTTAGGCCAGAGGTGACTGGACTCCTGATTCTAGCCAGCACTAGAATCAAAGCGAAGGAGGACTGACTGGCAGCCTGGTGTGACCATCCCTAAGCGTGTGACTCAAGTCTGGGACCTTGGCCCATGGGAAAGGAAGATCTCTCCTCCCTGCTAATGATGGCGAGGACATGATCCCTGATCCCGATTCCAGAAGCAACTGGAGAATGAGGCCCAGGTTGGGGTCATTGCAGATGGAAGCAGAACAACATCATTTTCTCCCCCACGTGCTGGGACTCAAGCCAGGGCCTCAGGCACGCTAGGTAAGCACTCTGAGCCACAGCGCTGACCTTCCAACACCATCACTCCAGCCCTTGAAGAGAGCTGTATCCAGATGTCTGTCAGCTGGGCAAATGAGTTCCCCTTTTTTGGTCTCAGCTGGGGCTAAGCTGGCTTTTTGTCACCTACTACCCAAAGAGTAAGTCTTAACTCCTACAGCACCTTCAGGGGGCATTGTGAGGAGGGGGCATCTAGGAGATCCTTCATCTAATTCTCCTTTGCAGGGAGGATGCTTCTTTAAGGGTACTCACATATTAATGATTTGTTTCTTCTCTTGGGAAATATATATAAAAATGTGTATATGTGTGTGTGTGTGTATATATATATGTTGTGTGTGTGTGTATATACATATATATATATATATTATATTCTATCTATCTCTCTATCTATATATATATATATATATATATATATACATAAAAAAATTTTTTTTGGTACAAGGGATTGAACTTGGGTCCTTGTGCTTGCAAGGCAGGCAGTGGAACCACTGAGCTAAATCCCCGGCCCAAAACTTTTATTTCTGACTATTAAACTACTATCTTCAAGAAAATCCCACCAAGTTCGGTGTGACTTTTTCTTAGACAAAACTTCAGAGGTTTGTTATCAACAGGGTGTGTAATATGTGCAAAATTCCTGTGAAAAATCTTTTGTCCTTACTGAGTGTGGAGATCTATGCTCATAATCCCAGAACAATGAGAGGCTAAGCAGGAGAACGACCAGTTTAAGGCCATCCTACATAACTTAGTAACTAAGAGAGGACCATTCTCAAAATATAAAAAGGTTGGACGGTATAGCTCAGTGCAAAGGCTCTGTATTTCACCTATAGTACCACAAAAAAAAAAAAAAAAAAAAAAAAAAAAATCTTTGTTCAAAAATAGTGCCAACTTACCATTTAATGTTGCTGCCTATTAACCCTTTGGAAGTTGTGGCTGACCTGAGAGACACAAATTCCTTTGTTAAGGAGTAACGTCAGATCTGTGACCTCTGCAGGGTTAAACCTGCCTCTGTATACCTAGATGTCATCCCTTTTAATCACACACATCTCCAAAGAGCTTACAAAAAGGCAAAGCTAAAACCCAGGTGAGAACAAAACTTTGTGTATGTGCCTCTTCCTAAGTCAGTAGGGAGAGGTGCAGACACAGGGGAAAATCCACCTCACAGCAGAGGGCTGAACCCACGAGGCTACGAGGCACAACCGGTATGGTAACATCTGACTGTTGTAAAATACTCTTATGAGCTGAGTACACAGAGCAGCAAAGCCTGCCGGCTGGTTTCTAGGTCTCTTGGTGCCCTGAAATCTGCACTGTATTACTTATTTTAAAATAAACACTCCTAATTACAGAAAGTGCCTATCACAGCAGGTAAAGCTGGGAACACTGTGCCTGATACAGGGTAAGAGCTGAAGGGACTGGTCTAGTCTCTGAGGAGTTAGGTGAATGACTAAAGGAAAGAGCAGCGTGGGGCTTACAGACAGAGGGAAGCACGTCCCTTTACACGTCCCTTCAAGAGCTGGCTGAGGATTTAGCTTAGTTCTGCCACCTGCCTCGCAAGCGCAAGGTCTCGAGTTCAATCCCTGGTACCAAAAACAAAAAAACAAAGAACAAGAGCTGTTTGTATGCACGAGGGCTCCAGTGTGTTCTTGTTTCCCCCTGCTCCAGAAGAACACTGCAGTCTTTCTTCCAGTTTCCCTGAGTTGCTGGGAAATGTTGAAGCGGTGGGTGGAGTGGAGAAAAGTTCTCCATTGATAACGCATTTGGCACCGAGGGGTGTCCAGGATGAAGACTCCGAAGGCTGGAGTTCAGTTCCCTATTCACCTGCTATATATGTATTTTTTAAGTGATTTAAAAAAGTTTTGCAGTACTAGGGATTGAACCAAGGGCCTTTGCACTAAGCAATATCCCCAGCCCTTTTTTATTTTGAAATAGGGTCTCAATAAGTGGATAAGTGACTCAGGCTGGCCTAGAAATTACCATCTTCCTGTTTCAGCCTCCCACGGTGCTGGGATCACAGGTGTGTAGTTTTTGTGTGAAGGTGGCAGGGCACTGCCCCAACTGTGCCAAAGAAATAAGAATAAAAGAGGCAGAAAAGTATTTTTGATTTCTATCTCTTTCTCAGTCCCTAAATTGCTGCTTACTTTCTACTGTCTGAATAATAAAGCTAATATAGATAACCAGTGGTATAAACAAATGTGATGTTTATTTATTTTGATTGTACTCATGTGTTTTTGTATAACATGAAAGAAAATGAACTTCAAAAAGAAAGGAGGGAGGGAGGGAGCGGAAAGGGAAGGTATACTGATTACAAGAATGAAGTGCTAAGATTAACAGGTTCATTAAAGGGCTAGAGAAGTACCTCTGTGGTGGACAGCATGCCCAGAATGTCTAAGGCTCTGGGTTCAACCTCTAATAATGAAAAAAAGAACAAAAAAAAATTCAAGTGAAAACTGCCCAGGCTTAACAAAGTAGAGGAAAGGAGAAGATGGAGAAATGAAGTAGCCACCTTTTCAGGCTCTGCCCAGCCTATGCTATCTCTCATTGAAACATTTTGGCTTTTTTGCAATGCTAGCACTCAAACCCAGGGCCTTACACATGCTAGCCAAATGCCATTCTGAGCGACACCTCTGCTGACTGACATCAGCCCACTGAGAGGGGCCATGGCCATATCCTGTGACCGGGGCAGATTCCTTAGCCCACCAGATTCTCTCCTCTGGTACTCTGGAATCTGCACTGAGGGAAGTTAATTTCAGAGGTGAGAGGTACCAGACGTAGCTCTGCACAAAGGAAGCAAAAGCCAGTCTCTAAGGAGGACAAGGCAGAGGCAGGGGAAGGACCATCTTCTGGGGGGATTCTAGCTCTTGGCCCTACGGTCGGTCCTATAAGAGATGCACCCCCTTTACCTCTCCGGGTCTAGGAGATACTCTTACCTCCTTAGACAGGGCGGGAGTAGGTTTTTGTCACAGGCACCCAAAGAAGGCTCGACTAACACAAGGAAGGGGGAAAAGGGACTAAAAGGAGGGTGTGAGGCAGACCAAGAGCAGTCTAGGAAAATACCTGGGCGGATGCAGAGGACATGGCAGCCCCTGGGGTCCGTGTGGGGCAGCACGGTGAGGAATCCGGAGCTGAAGACATCTTTCAGGGCCGATGGCCTCAGGTTACTGAAGACTTCGGGCCAGCTTCTTCTGCAGCTGTGGTAGTTGACCAGCAGCTGCAGGGCCCGGTCGTAATCAAACTTGCGGGCGCGCAGAAAGCGCAGCAGGAAGGCGTCATCGAGGGAGGTGCTCAGGTTGGGGTACTCCTTCCGTACCATGTCACGGAGGGCCTGCACATCCCGGAGCCGCCACTCTGGCTTCTCCTGCAGTTCTTCCCGGGCTTTGGTGACCAGGTCCTCAGTCAGTGAGCACACGTAGCTGGGAGGCTCAGGTGGTGGTGGCAGCTCATTTTCAGAGAGAGAGGCCACAGAAGGGCTGGTCCGCAGAGAGTCACTTTCTTTTGACATTAGCTACCAGGGTCCCTGCTGACACAGAAACCCCAGGTGAAGTCAAGAAAGCTCTGCACTCTCCTTTCAAACCCCGCAATGGCTGGGTATGAGGGACAGCAACATTTTTTGTCAGACCCAAGGAACCTCAGGGTTCCTCAAGGAATGAACCAGGTCTGAACCACAGGCCCAGGTCCAACCGCAGGTGGATGACGAACTTAGAATCTCCCTGAAGTCCCACCCCACCCAGCTGTGCGCATTCCTATCAAACATCCTGGCCTTCAGAGTAAGTGTTCGAATAGATGTTTGACCTTACTCATTCATCTAAATACATGAGAATTAAAACAACTCTGAGATTCAGATTGGCAAAAATAAAGGAATAGGCAGCCCGAAATACTGGTGGCAGTATAAACTGACATCTCCTTTCAGAACAGCTTGTATCTATCAAAATTTAAAACCATATGGCTCAGTAGTTCCATTTCTACAACATATATGTGTGCGCGCAAAATATACACATTCATTTTAAGTATTATGATAATGTGTGACTGAAAATGGGGGGATGTCCTGGAGATTAGCCCCAGGACCTTCACACTGAACTACAGCCTCCTTTTCATCTTGAAACAGGGTCCTCTAAGTTGCAACTTAGTGAGGCTGGGCTTGAACTTGTAATCCTCCTGCCTCAGCCTCTCAGAATGCTTTGATTACACCCCAGCACCACCATGCTCAACTTGGAAATATCTTAACTGTACATCAGAAAACTAGTTTGTACCACTGGAATGGGATACTATTCAGTTATGAAAAGGAATTATCAGACCTTTATGAACTGACATACTAAGGAAAAAGAAAGGTTGCAGAACAGTGTACAGAAAACAAGCATGTTTATATATATATTTGTGAATGCACAGAAAAGTTTTACAGGGAAATATAAGAAACTGTTGTCCAGGATTTAGTTCCATCCCTGGAACCAAAACAAACAAACAAACCGGTTATTAATGATTACCTCTACGGAACAGAGCTGGGCAGCTGGATACAATGTGAAAAAGAAACTTTTTACTACACTACTTGAATTTTAAAAAAATTTTAAATTTTAATTTCTCAGCAGTGCTAGAGATAAGATCCAGGGTCTTGGGCATGCAAAGCAAGCACTCTAGCACAAAGTTATCTATTCTTAGCTCACATGTACTCATGTAATATAAAAATGCACTGGTCAGACCTACTGCCGGGGAAACATTATTGACAAATGGCCCTAGCTGCTGTCCCTCTGGGCCACTGATCAGAGGATGCCACACTTTCCACAGACCATGCTCAGCCAGCAGCTGAGTGAAACAAAGGATTCTCTAACAGGCAACTTTGATCCGAGGTCTTCCTGTTCATTTGACTGAAACTTTCCTGGGCTGAGCTGGCCTTGATCTTGGCCAAAACCTCCTCAATGGGGCCCAGATCTGCACCGCGGCACCACTGTCTGAAGACTCCTCCTACTTCTCCAGCTCCCTTCTTCCTTACCTACTGCAGGTCCAACCTCTAGATTGGTATGTCTGCTTCTTGGAAAACCTGAATTATACACTACTGAATGATAAAAAAAAACAAAAGAGCTGCTTGAAATATTCTGAGAACAAGGTGGCAACAGTGTCGCCCAGTCCCTTGTCCACAGGAAAGTGGGGACCAACTCAGGGCTTCCCACACATACCTGTGATGTCCCGACTGCACCTGGCTGGTCTCCCTCTACTTGGCCACAGCGAGTGACCAAGGTCACTTCCTCCAAATCTGAGGTCTTCCCACTCCATCTCTTGCATTACAACCTCCAGCTTACCCAGCTTTTTCACTTCCTCCCAAAGGCGTGTTCTCATCCCACGCACACCCTGATCTCCCGCTGGCATGCTTGTCCTCCACTTCCTCACTGATCCACACTGATTCACCCGAGTCTCAATTAGATGTCACTTCATTCATTCATTCAACAAAATACTGAGCCCTCTATCAGGCCACCCGGGCATACAGATGTGAACAAGGAATCCTGCCTTCATGGAGCTTAGATTCTAGTGAAGGCAGTGGGATAAGGCCATATGCACAATAAACTATAATGTACTACAAGGTAAGTGCTTTGGAGAGAATCAAAGGAAAGAACGGGGCTGGGTGCATGAGATTAGGGGTTGCAATCTTAAACAGGGTAAGCAGGGAAGGCCTCACCTATGTGACTTCTGAGCTAAAACAAAGCAAGTGGAGGAGCAAGCCATGCAGATCTGCATGAATAACAAGTGCAGTGCAGTTCCATGTAGAACATGCCTGGCCTTTCTGAGCAACAGAAAGGAGGTCAGCATGGCTACCGCCGAAGGAGCAAAGTGGCTACACCACACTGCAGGACCTGTGCCCACCGCTTAATCCCACTACGCTGAAGTGCAGAGGCTGTCCCAGCCCCTCCCTGTCTCTGCACCCGGGACAGGCGCTGCGAGCACTGGCAATCGGGCAGCCCGCTCCCGCTCCCTGCCAGCATCACGCTCCAGCTGGTCACTTTCTTGAGAAAAGTCCATTTGGCTGCTGCCCTTTGCCTGCCTTGTGTCACTTGTGCTCTGGTCCTTGGGAACAAAATGGCTCTCCTCAGTGCTCTCCTGAAGTGCCAGCCACACAGCAGAGCAGATCCCTGCCGTGCGCCCAGGCCCCGCGTCCAGGTGAGGCGGGAGTGCCCGTATTCTGGAAGCTGCCTTGCCCTGTCACAGCCACTCCTGGTGTCCATGTCCGCTTTTTTATTTATTTATTTTTTTGTGGTACTGGGGATCGAACTCAGGTCCTTGCGCTTGTGAGGCAGGCCACCGAACCGCTGAGCTAAATCCCCGGCCCCCATATCCGCTTTTAATAAACGTGTTGTCTTGAGCCAAAAGAAAAAAAACACCCCCACACACCAAAAAAAACAAAACACAGTGGGAACAACAGCAGATGAACTCAGAGGCTTGCTAGTAGGAAGGCCAATGGTTAGGGCTTTGTAGGCGGCAACAGAAACTTTGTCTTTTACTCTGGGTAGCGGGGTATAAAGGGTTTTGAATGGAACATGATCACATTTATATTTTTAAAGCATATCTTATATGCTACCTTAAGGATGGACCGTGAGGACACAGAGATTCTAAAGAGGCTACTGCAATGGCCTGCTGAGAGATGACGGTGGCTTGAGCAGACTGTATTAGGCGACCCCCACCCCAGGGGCTCTCTGGTGTAGCAATTCTCCCACTCTGCTGTCACTGTCTGCAGGCAGTTTGTGGGAGACATCTGGTCATGTCCACTGCCATACATTCAACAGCCAACAAGGTATCAGGCAGACTACAGTCCACAAACATTTGTCCAACGAGTACACTGCACCTGGCAGAGTAGGCCGAGCAAGAAATGAAACAATTCTGGCTTCCTAGGTTCCATCCAGTGCTGTTTCCATGGCAGGCACCAACAGATGGCTGTAATCCTGACCCTGCCTGTAATGGGGCTTTCCTGAAAGTCCTCTCCAGCCTCAACTCCCTCCTCTCCCTGCCAGCCCAGACAAGCTAACCCATCATTCCTGGAACACTTTGTGTGCCTCTGATACCCTCTGCCTCAATGTCCTCTCCTTGTTTGTTGTTTACCAGACAACTCATCACTTTCAAGGCCCACCTGTCACCTCCTCCAAGCCTTTCTCAACTTCCCCAAAGTGACTCCTCCCAGTTTTCCACAGCACTGGGAGGAGTCCTATTTCTCTTTAGAAATTGCAGACCAATGTCACAAATGTTTACATAAAGCTCCTCAGGGTTAGCTTCCTCATCCACTTATTTACCAAATAATTACTGATCACCAATTATACTTATTAGGCACTGTGTGTCACGGGCACTAGGGACACAGTAGTAATTCTTTGTCTTATGAAGCTGAGTGGAATGATGAAAACAGCTAAGACATACTTGAGCCTTTTATCAGGCATCAAACACTGTGCCCAGCACTTTACGTCGTTTTCTCATTTCTTTCTTTCCAGTGCTGGGAACAGAACCTTGCTTTGAACATGCCAGGCAAAAATAATGCTCTCCCACCGTGCTACATCCATAGATCCTCATTAATCTTCACAGTATCTGGTGAGCGGAGTAATACTGTTTCCATTTTACAAAGGAGCAAACTAGAATGTTCCCTAGAATGTGAATTCCACTAGGGCAGAGAACTTGCCTGCCATGTCCACTGCTATCCCCAGTGCCTGGCACACGGCAGCTCTCAGCAAACAGGATAAGATACCAGCTTAAGAGATGTGCCAAGGGTACAAACCTAGTGAGGCAGAAAAAGGAAGCGTCAAGCCCCGCCCTGGGCTCATAATCTCTACCCTCCACCTGGGGCAGTATGGCTGTCAGTCTGGTGAATGAGCTGATGAGTGGACAGATGGACAGGATGCAAACATCATTTGTCACCAGGATGTAGCCAGGAATCCTTCCCACCTGGAGCCCATCATTTTGTGGTACACATCACCCTTCTCCCTCCCAGCAAGGAGATGCCAGGAAGCCATCTCTCTAGGAGCTACAGAAACTCCACATCCCGTCCATAACCTTCCGAGGCCCCCTACTTCCGGTCGTCACCCCCTCCCCAGGCGTCCCCATTTCCTGGGGTCTCCCGCTCCTCTAGCTCCCACTTCCGGTGATCCCTCCCTCTCCAGGTCCTTTTCTCGGCCATCATGGGGCACGCACGGGCTCGTGGGCACTCACCGGCCCGGCTGCGGGGCGGAGCGCGGGTCAACCGGCAGCTGGAACCTAGCCTGGGAGCGCACGCAGAGACGACCCGCACTCCAGCCAGGCCGGCCCGGCCCTTCACGCCGGAAGTGACGTCTGGGGCGTGGGAAGGCGGGGCTCCGCCTAGGAGTGCGCATGTGTGCCATCCCTGCGCGTAGGCGGCGCTCTATCGCCACCTGGCGGCCATTCTTCGAGATGTAGAACCCCTTGTGGCTGGGAGAAGGTGAGTTTGGACAGCTTTGTCAAACTCTTATAGATGGGGAAATAGAGCCAAAAAACGGAAGAGAGAATATATATATATTGCCTGCACATAGTATTTCTCATCAGTTATCTCATTAAATCTGCATGTATATGTAGTTTCCCAATCTCATTACATCCTCGTGTCTGTGCAATTTCCCTATTTCATGAAAGGGAAAGTGACAATCAGTGCAGTAAAGGGCTTCAAACCTCAGGATCAGCATTCCAGAATTCCTCCACCACGGCTGCCAGCAGCACTGGCTGCTCCAAAGGGAGAAATGGCCAACCAAGGTATATCAGTCTCGTTAGCAGGTCTCCATTCTTCCTGGGGCTCGGTTTCTCCATCTATAACATGATTGTTAGTCTGAATCCTGATTTACTAATTGTTTCCTGCTCTGGGGTTCATGAAGTTCCATCTGGACAGTGGTAGTTTAAAAAAGATGAATACTCAGGCTAGCTGCATGCTTAGACCACCTCCCAAGATATCTGTTTGTTTGTTTGTTTGTTTTTGGGTTTTTTTGAGACAGGGTCTCACTATGTAGTTGAGAATGACCTGGAACTCACTATGTAGCCCAGGCTGATCTCGAACTCACAGCGATCCTCCTGCCTCAGCCTCCCAAATGCTGGGATTATAAGCGTGCACTACCATGCCCAGCTAGATTTAATTTTTCTTCTTGAATCAAAAGCAGAATTTTTTGTGGGTTTTTTTGTTGTTGTTGGGTTTTTTTTGGGGTAGGATACCAGGGATCCAACTCTGGACCTTGCACTTTGGAGGCAGGCATTGTGCCACTAAGCTAAATCCCCAGCCCAAAAGTATTAGTTTTTTTATTGCTGCTGTAACAAATTACTGCGATCTTAGGGGCTTGAAACAACAAAAATTTATTTTTCTAAAGTTCATGGTGTTAGCATGACTGTAATTGTGCTACTAAGCTAAATCCCCAGCCCCAAAGTATTAGTTTTTTTATTGCTGCTGTAACAAATTACTGCAATATTAGGGGCTTGAAACAACAAAAATTTATTTTTCTACAGTTCATGGTGTTAGCATGACTGCAATTTTTTTTTTTTTTTTTTTGGTACCCGGGGTCAAACTTGGGTCCTTGTGCTTGTGAGGCTGGTGGCAGAACCACTGAGCTAAATCTCCTGCCCACATAGCTGCATTCTTTCTGGAGACTTTTGGAAATTCATTCTTTTGCTTTTTCAGCCTGTAGAGGTCACTTGCATGCCTTGGCTCATAGATCCTTCCTGAAAATTACTTCAACCTCTTGCTTCTGTGGTCACAGCTACTATTGACTCTGATCTTCCTGTCTGTCTCCTGTAAGAGCTCTTGAAATTACATCAGCCCACCTGGATAGTCTTTCCATCTCAAGACCCTTAATCACATGTACAACGTAGCTTTTCCTATGGACAGGCAGATATCCACCAGTTCCAGCAATTAGGAAGAGAACATTGAAGGGGAGCATCGTTCAGGCTATCAGAATCTGTCTGCCTGACTGTATTTATTTATTTGTACTGGGATCCAACCCAGCTCTTCCTATATCCTAGGCAAGTGCTCTATCACTAAGCTGCATTCCCAACCTCCAAATCTGATCATTTTAATGTCAGCCGTGTGACTTTGGCTGAGTAACTCAAACTCCCAAAGTCTAGATACATGGGCAAAGAGGTGATTAAATGGGTTCATAAGAGGGAACTCTTTCCCTATACTTGACCAGCAGTAAATGTTAGATGTTTAATAAATGGCAGCTCTTTTGGCAAAGGGCAAGAGATGACCTTGTCCAAACCATGCTATAGTAGGTATTGGGATAATATCTTCTCTTTACCGTAGACCCAGGACCTATGGTGACACACAGAGTCCAGATTGCAATCCTGCATGCTGATAGGAGAGGAACTTGGCCTTGAGGGTTCTTATTTCCTAGTAATACACTTTGGAGAACTGAGTCATCTCAGAGTTGGAAGGGACTGGGGTAAACAACAACAGAACGAGTTTCTGCTTTTTGGGCACTGTGTTTGCATAACTCAATTATGCCTACAACAGCCTTGTGAACAGCAAGCCTGGAGACTGTCTCAATTACAATAGAGGACACTGAACTCCAGAAGGAGAAAGTCACTTGCCTAAGAGCTCAATATATTCAGGGAAAGAGCTGCATTTCAATTCAAGTCTGTGACATCACAGCCCCAAGTTTTACTTTACTTTTGAGGTGTTATAGGCAATGTTCCCCCCACCTTTCTAACAGGCTGTGAAACAAGATAAAAGGACAAGAAATTACCGTGATCACATGGCAACTAAGTGACTGAGCAGGGATTTGAATTTGTGTCTTCTTTTTGCCTTGGACACTCAGAAGTAGCATAAAGTGACTTCAAAAGATTAGTTTTCCAGCTGGGTGTGGTGGTGCACGCCTGTAATCCTAGGACTCAGGAGGCTGAGGCAGGAGGATCGCTGTGAGTTTGAGACCAGCCTGAGTTACACAGTGAGTTCCAGGTCAGTCTCAACTACATAGTGAGATCCTGTCTCAAAAAACAAACAAACAAACAACCCCCCCCAAAAAAGACTAGTTTTCCTCTGTGTAAAATAAGGCTATGTTCCTTTTTTATTTATTTAATTAATTTATTTATTTTCAGTACCGGGGATTGAACTCTGGTCCCTGCCTTTGCGAGGCAGGTGGTGGAACCACTGAGCCAAATCCCCAGCCCATATGTCCCATGTTTAGGGGCTCCTAGGGAGCATTTGGTGGAATGGCACATGTAGAATTCTGATGCATTGTCAGGAAATGCCTGTTTATGGCTTATGATCAGCCCACTCTTGAGGTGAAACATTGCAAGAGGGCAGCTTGCTTTGTGTCTTGGTCTAGAAGGCTCCAAACTCCTGCTTTCTTAGATTTAGCCAGTCTTTGAAGGGGGGAAGGGGAGGGAGTGAGGGAGAGAGAGAGAGAGAGAGAGAGAGAGAGAGAGAGAGAGAGAGAGCTTGCTATTGAGTACATGCTGGAGGAAGCTGGAAATGCCTGAGCTGTGTGTTTCTGGGGTCTGTGACTATGAGCTCAGTTTCCCAGGATCAGCTTCAGTACTTATTCTAAGGAAAGGCTTATTTAGGATGGCATCATGCTGTAAGGCATAGTTTTTCAACCTGGGAATTAACTGATGTTTGGGTCTGGATGGGTCTTTCTTATGGGGAGGATGTTGTCCTGAACACTGTAGGGTATTTAGTGGCAAGCCTTGCCTTTACTCAGTAAAGTAGCCCAGTTCTATGTCCATGGTCATGAAAACAGAACTCTGCAGGCACTGCCCAGTATCCCCTGGAGGATAACACTGCCCCCAGTTGAGGACACTGGGAGAAAAGAAAGTCGCCTCCTGTTCAGACAGACCCGAGTCTAAATCCTCTCTGTGTTACTAACCAGCTGTGTTACTTTGGGGCAATCATTTACCTTTACAACCCTTGGTTTTTTCAACCATAAAATTCTACACTAGGCTGCCAGTTAATTAAACACGTTTTCACTGGCTCTTTGTGGACAATCTTGCTTAACTGTCAACAACAGAGTCCTGCAGGGATGCTGGTCAGCCAAAGCAGGGAGGGAGGAGCCTGTAGCGGGTGTCTTCTCCATACCATGCGTGGGAGCATTGCTGTCATGTGCACCTCTGTTGCCAGCAAATCACAGCCCTGGAATGCATTTCTCCATCTGTGAAAATGGGAGCGGCCAGAAGGTTCTGTGAGGATAGAGGCACTGATACTTGGTGTCGATTTGGACCTTCCCAAATCCCCTGTAAAAGCAGAAAGAAAATCCCACAAAGACACTTACAACAAAACTAGGTGACAAAGTATCTTCATGAGCTCCCAAAACAAGCGAGGACAGATCAACAGCTGCCAGGCCTGTACGCCATGGCTGCGTCGGTGCCGTAGAAATAGAAGAAAACCAATTAGCAAGGGGTCTGACAGACACGAGAGGTAGAGAACCCTGAAAGGTAACGTGGCAAGCATGTGGGGCAGTTCGAGAAGAGCAGCTAAAACAGAGCAGGGATTTGCCAAATCCAGGTTGGGCTGAGTGTTAGGGTTACAGCAGAAGGCCTAAGGGAGGTGTGTCCAGACTACTGCTTGTGGGCCGCTTGTGGCTCTGGGTAGCTAGTAAGGTGGCCCCACAAGACCATAAACCTTTAACATTATTATGTGGTTTCTTTACTGTTGCTCAATTATAGGGTGCTTGAGCACAGACTGTGTAGGTGACAGCCAAACATTGTGTAGAGATGAGCACTGTACAGAGGTAACTCCGCTCCTTCCCCTGCCATATAGGCAGGCCAGTGCACACTGGTGTGTATGAGATGTTACCTGTGCTTGTTCCACTTGGTGAGTAAAACACCACAGTTGCATTTCAACCTGAGTACACATATGTGTACCTGTGAAGACAGGCATTTATGGTTAGTAACCACACATGTAACTTTTCTAATTGAATTATGAAACTTGGAATGATGTTATTTCATGTCAATGTTATAATAAAATACCTTTTTTAAAAGAAAGTTTTGTTATTCATATACATTAATAATCTTTATATGCAGCCCAAGGCAGTGTTTCTTTACTTAGTGTGGCTCAGGCAAGTCAGACACTCATGGCCTAAAAGATGAAGGAGTTTAACTGTGAATTCTTGAAAAGACTATCAAATCTACCTTAAAGGAGAGCACCCAGGCTGAAGAGAAACTACTGGGAAGGAAATCAGGAAAAGTAGAGATAAAGGAAAGAGAAAGATAAATAAAAGTAGGGAGGGGACTGGCAATGCTTAATGCCAGAAGAAAATGGTAAAATACATTTAGGTAATCAAAGAAAGAAAATATAAACCAGGAATTTTATACCCAGCAAAGCTGACCTGCT